AATTATTATTATTGTACCCTAATGACTGTAACGTATGAGGGATATTACTAAGTAGAATTGCAAACAGAATATTGGTGCAAAAAAAAAACATGAAAACGTATTTTTGAAACCCAGAACTTCCAGGTTTATAAAATAGTTATGTCCATATACTTCTTATACAATATTTATGGCAAATAATATATTTTTATTGGGTAAAAATGTCGATTGATTAAAAATAATTCTATAGAACACTTCATATACAATGAAAACTGCCTTTAATTGCAAGCTGTACATGTACTTGCCACTGTCACGTGTTGTATGCGCTTCCATAATGAGACTATAATGGCATTCATTGCCATTCTACCTAGTTAGACTCTTGGTCATCGGCATTTTAAAATACTTGGAGTTATAGTCTATTTGCATAACTAAAGATAGCCTCCTCTTCAGCCTATTAAGTTTATAACAACGTTATGCAACCGTATTGAAAACAAAAGAACTAAACTCGCAATTCCAGTTTCACATTTCATTTATTTTGTAACAATATAAATTTAGCTTGCTAGCAATATACCATATCGGGTCAATATTCGCGCGATCTTTCCTTAAAACATTTGTTGTTAATTACTGCTTAATTCATAAGTTGAACTGCCTTGACTAATTTCATTCTCATCCTAAGGCGTAGCAGCAAGCACACGGACCATTCCATCCTCAATCTTTAAATAAAATACTTAACAAGGTGGACAGTAAAGTATAAAACTCCAATTACCTTTAAGCGTAGGTACAACACGATAAGGTAAACAGCAGTTGCGCTGACAGAATTATAGAGAGAGAACGTGTACCCCAATTGTTTATCCAAACAGCCTGCATTTCGTCACGTCCTAAACGTAACCTTACCGTACCGGAGCCTGGTGTTTGCCAAATGCATTTGATATGGATAGTATGCATGCATGAGGTATTGTGTTACTTACGTTAGTATGATTATAGTAAAAATAAGTTAAAACACAGGTTCAGTCTTAAAACAATAAAACACAAACAAGTATTGATTCGCCGAATCATATAACAAATAATTAATGCAATACCTTTCGAAAAAATAAATAAACTACCAATTATTCGACACAGGTCGAATATGTACCTTTTATTAATTTAGGAACATCAAAGATAATTATTAAGTTACATTCGTAAATCTATTAATTGTGAGCCTTATAGTGTCATTTTTTTATTTATAGGTCTTTGTAGAGTACTTTCTTCCATCAACTCAATAAGGTTAAAAATGAGTAACGGAAAATTGCATGTGTCTAATAAATGTCATGTATATAAAACTAGCTGTGTCCTCGGTTTCAGCCGCGAGAAATTTATAGCCTGTGTAATCTCTATATATATATGTAATATACGCTATATTTTTGTAAAGTTTCATTAAAATCCATCCAGTAGTTTTTGCGTGAAAAGGTAACAAACATATGGTATGTTTGTATATTATACATATACAATATTATACATCCATATTATAAGTACATATACAAACATACCATCCATAAACATCCATATTGACTAACTTTCGCGTTTAGAATATTAGTAGGAAGTAAGATAAGATACTTAGTAAGATTTGACATAATTTGGATCATCGAATTATTCATTATAAATAAAGCCAGACTTACATAGGGTCAGATAAACTCAGGACAAATCAAAATCGAGTTATTTTGTAAAGGGAATAATTGACTTTTTACTTGCAGATACTGATTTAATTTATATGAAACCGTATCTTTACAGTAAAATGATAATGAAAATCTACCAAAAAACTTAAACAGTTTGTGGTTTATTGGTAGGCTTTAGATAGTAACAAATATGCTATTATGTACTCTGTCCTTATGACTACATGAAGAGGTGACGATGTGAAATAGCAATTTACAAGGACACACATTGGCTAGTAGGTACTTTATTACTTCGTTTCACTACAAGGCAAATATTTCAAGGCAAGATGAATATCTAGACATGACAGGAATATTAAATGAGTTTGAAACACGCCTATTGAGTAATGCGTGGCAGTTGGGCCATTTCAATTATTTGTGTGTCTTCACAAATCGATTGCAAAGTTGTTAATAAAAATGTTATTCTTAGAAAACTGTGACGGTTAGTTTCACTGACTCAACTGAATCACAAAAACTACTCATCAAAGGAAGTCTGAAATTAAAATAGGTTAGGCCTTTGATGCACGATTGTCTCTACCTGCTACATAGAGGCACCTGAGTTTACCTTAGAATATGGAGAAGTAGTATCTGTTTCTGAGAAATTATTCATTATAATCAATTACTATAAACTACTAGAACAGTTTAGTCCATGTTTCCCAACCAAACCTTCCCAACCCAACCTACCTTGATTGTTAAGGGGGGCAATTTCAAAATGGATATTTTATTAAAATGATATGGAATGAATTTACTTACTATTTCTTAGGAAGGGGTGTGGGTGCAATTTTAGGTAGGCTAAGGTGGGAAATAGCTGTATAATGGTTGGGAGACACTGGTCTAGTCTAGTCAGAGACCTAAAAATATTGTATGTAAAGTCAAAATTATAATAACAAAGTTATGTGATCTAGAGAATTTTGTAAAATATATAATTTTGTCATATATTCATAAACAGTTTTAAAGTGATCTACAATTAGTATAAATCACACAAGTGATATTGATATGATTTTTAGTGTAATGTCAAGAAATTCTTTTGAAAGTTTTGTGTAACACATATTTTTATAAATAATAATATGAACTCTGTCACATGCCACCCCTAAACCCCTGTAAAGCTGAGATGGGTTACTAATTATTCGAAATAATGAACCCCTGTTGATTACTTTTCAAGTTGGACTGTTATTCAGAAATTTCATAAACATAATATTAAGTATAACTTATAGAAATAATAGAATTTTATTTTAATGAATTACAATCATGTAGAAGTTGAGTTACAGAATAAATAAATGAATAAATACATAACTCAATCCCATTTATAGTCATTAATGATAATAGTATAATAATCAAAGCTAAAGTATGATAATTTTATGCAGAAATAAATTATGATAAAGTTATTAAGTAAGAAGTGATAACAACAAGAAAACAATCACCTTTAATCATAATTAGATTGATTGTCAATTGGTGCCGAAAATAATACTAATTAAAATAATAATTATTATAATTATATTTCAATTAGTATAATATTTATATATTAAATATATAATTGATTGTACAAATTTATTACAGGCATCAGACAAGTAGGCAATACCATATTTTCTTCATATTATAAAGAGAAAAACATGTCATAAAAGGAAGCTATTGATAAATAACAGGATAGTCTTTTATTTTTTGATAGACAAATACATAATTGTACATCCATCTTCGCTAACAAACAGGACATTTATACTAGTGTGGTATGATAGGATAATGTTAATAGATGAAGTTAGGTAAATTTTCTCCCCATCTATGATTTCATTATGTAACACAGTTATTAACAATTCTCATTTGAAACTAAAACCTACAGTTTTCTGATTATGCCTAAATGATGCAAGCTAGGAGCAATCCTAGCTTGCATCAAACCATACCATGAATATACCGTGAATTTTCATTTTGCCATTTGCCAAACCATGGTATGGTTTGGCAAATGGCAAATTCACCAGGAATTAACTACAGCATTTTCTATAATCCCTGAACTGCTTGTTTTAAATAATTAGTGAGTCAAGTTGGCTTCAGTTGAACTTAATTTTCAATTTAAAATATCTTGGCCTGTTTAGATCTATAGTGAGTTCTTTACTAAAGCTGCACTACTGTGGCTGGGGTGGGAGAGAAATACACAAATGCAGGTTTAAAGGGCCCTTTAGACATATTGGTGAAGGACCCTTTAAAAACCTCTTTTTAAACCTACACCCGTCACAAGTAATGAGAACTGCTTGGAGCTTCCGTCTCTGCCACATGCTGGACCCGGTACCCACATGATGAATCCACAGTTCATTTCTCAGTAAATTTTAAGTTTACAAAATCTATTATTTACATATAGAATGTTATGACCTGTGCAACTCAGTCCGTATAAAATTTACTTGACATTTTTCATTATATTTATCCCAATTGATATAATATCTTTTTTAATTATATATTTAATGTTATATGTTATTCAGATTACATGCACAACGGCCCAAATGAGAGGCCAATTGTGGAAAATGAAGTCCAACCTACCTACATGTTATTCAGATGTGTAAGCTACTGTGAAGATTCATTAATTCGTTCAGTAGTTTTTGGGTGAATAAGTCCATACTCTTTCTTTCTTTCACATTTCAAAAATCCTTACAATACTTGTATTGAGTATTATAGTTTTCATTTGCAGCTATGATGTCAGCCACATATCACCTAAGCAAATATGAGGCAAGTGATGTCAACAACAGTGAACTGTAGCTATAGATATGGTTTTATGTATATTTAATATACATATAATTTACTATTTCTCTGTTTCATACATAACTTGAATGAGAAACAAACTAAGGGGCATTTGATGTAAAATTTTAACTTGTATTATGTTGACAAACAGCATGACTATTTGTCATGTATTAATGTAAGTTTGATTTTTTATATTGTAATTTGTATAATTAGTAATGAAGGAATAGATGTTCAAAAATGTATCAATTTATGAAAGAAACTAATGTACATATAATAACTTGTTTTTGATATGCATAGTTTCTTACATTATATTTAAGAAGTTCCTTATAAGATTCAAGGTTCCTTAGAAGACAACATAACTGAATTATTTACTACGCAGTCTACTTGCCGCTTGTGTACCCCACCAAGGGACCACACGCGGATTAAATGTTAAAACATTTGCGTCACAAATATTATTTTCTAAATGAAGTCATAATATTACGAAACAGGGACATTTATACAAGTGTACCTATGTTATTAGATAAATAAGTATCTATTCAATATTATCAATTACAATTTGTAATCTTACTGATACCGGTACGCAATGCAGATTCGAAGGGTATAAAAAATAATAAATACCTGTGCAAATTGTTCCCTGATTTCGTTCCTCTCCTCGTCGGTTAATTTAGAATTATCTGCCATCGTCAACACTTGTAAATAGCACAAAAAACAAGGATCACAACATTGACAATGGAAAAAATGTCGATTTAAGTTCAGACGTAGGTTACAATTTCACTATACACTTACAACACTAATACTAATATTAAATGTCTTATAAAAGATATAATAAATCACAGCACAATACTACTTTAATAAAAATAAGACATTAAAATTAGAGCCGCTTTTTGAAGACATAAACAAGTAGTACCGAATCGACAAACGAGTAAATGAGAGTAATTCAACTTATTACTTTTTAAAACACCGCTGACGGTATTGCCAAGCTATTCAGCATTTCCGACCAAGCAATATTAAGAAATAGATAGGGTAAAAATTATAGTGCTAAATTAATTAAACTAAATTTCAATCTGTAACAGACAAAATTAACACACAAAATAATAATTTTAGTGTTATTTTAACTCAAATTACTTTTGAGACTAAGACAATAATGCTTTTAAAATTTATAAATAATAACAATTTGAAAGAAATGATGGCAACATATTTTGAAAACAAACAATATTTTCTTTTAAATATAAAATAATTTTTCTAAATACAAATCAACCGATAAACAACTTTTAAAAATCAATCATTTTATTTCAACAAGCTTGGGCGATGAAAATTTAGTCTGTGTTGCCAAGTCTTTTAAGACATTGCATAAGTAAGTCCGAAATTAATAAAAAAGATTTAATAATTTCTAAACATAATATAATATAATGTTGTATGCATATCTACATGTCTGTTTGAAACGGGAAAGGAAGGAGAAATAAATGTTAGAAAATTTTTTAACATAGTAACAAATTTTATTTTATGGCTAATGGCAACACAAATCGCCTGAGGCAGACTTTTTTTTATAAATTTACTTGAGATAATATTACTTTATATTTCTGCTATTCGACACTAGATGGCTGCAGTGCCGTTAAATGTTGACTACAATATTCTACAATTTTCAGGATTGTTCAAGTATAGTGCGCTTTTATTTCTATTACACTTAAAAAATGGGTATGGTATTCCTTAGTCAATTCTAAAGAGATTACTGTAATTATTTTTCTTAATTATACGATTTACGCCAATGAAGTCATCGTTTTTCATTTATAATGTTGAATGAAAACTAAATTATTTTATCGGAATTGTTAATTACTGTATTATTTCGTATATTATTATAGTATTATAATGGTTAAATTATTATACTATTATAATATTGTTATATTAATTCTTTACAACTGAAATTTTTATAACTTTTCCTTGGCGATACTAGTCCTTGGCGTGCTAGTTTAGGTTCCAAACACTATTTATTAATTGAATGTCCAGCAAAGTGGTCACTAAATAATATGTAATATAATGTAACATTATAACACAATTAGCAAATATCTAGACTATAGGTAATATATATTTCTATTCCAAGATGCCACATAATGAATGGATTAGTGAAGAATTATACATATAAATAGTAATATTTTTTTTAATCAGAATAAATAAGCTGTCTATCCAACAATTCGACTTAATGTGTTTTTTCTTCCATTCATCCACATTCACAGTTGTTATTAATAAATATTATATAAATTAATTTAACGCGTAATAATAATAATGAATAATTATTAAATATTAATAGAAAATAATTTTCTTTGGAATGGGATTACACCAAAACATAAAATAATTATTACAATTAATTAGGCAATTTCTATTTTAATAAGCTTATTGATATTCTACGATCAGCATATTAATTTAAAAATACATCAATCATCAAGTCATAGTTTATTTTAAATTACTGTACGCAAGTTTATCTTTGCGGCCCCTTAGCTTGGTAGTATATGGACATCTGGAAAATTCTATACTTCTCTAGATAGGTGTCGCTACAATAAATACTAGATGCGCGCGTTGCTTTTTGTCACTTTAGCTACTGCAAGTCAAGTGCTAACACGGAAAGCAATTGCGATTTGAGAGTAATTTCTATTTGGTCGTGACATCGATTAAATTAAAAAAAAAAATTGTTTCTCAAACGTTATTGCGAAGAAAAACAAAATAAAATGTCGCTACTACCATTCTTGTTGGATTATGAAATTGAGCGACCACGCCGTCTGCTGGACCAACATTTCGGCCTGGGGATTACACCTGAGGATTTGCTGACTGCTGTCGGCGGGCCGATGATCAGCAGGGAGTACTACCGACCTTGGCGACACATAGCTGCAGCTGCAAGGGACTTCGGCTCCAACATCAAGGCGGATAAGGACAAATTTCAAGTCAACCTGGACGTTCAGCATTTTGCTCCTGATGAAATCTCCGTGAAGACTGTTGATGGTTACATAGTAGTTGAGGGTAAACATGAGGAGAAAAAAGATCAACATGGCTACGTTTCCCGCCAATTTACGCGCCGCTACGCCTTACCTGAAGGATGTACGCCGGAAAACGTAGAATCTCGTCTGTCGTCTGATGGAGTACTAACAGTGGTGGCTCCAAGGAAGGTGCCCCCAGCGGTGGAAGGTGAGAGGAAGATCCCCATCACACATACTGGGCCGGTCCGCAAAGAATCCTCGGATCAAGCAAACGGTGATAAGGCAGAAAATTAATTATTATTCACGCATAAAGCATTATAGAGCTACCCTCGGTTTATTTAATTCCCACCTACTAGAATGTTCGTTACATTGTCTGTTGTAAGACTGATTTTAAGTTAATAAATTATTTATTATTTTATTTCTGTGTTTTATTTCACTGTATGTATGTTATCTCCTTAAGTTACGAATAGGTACATATAACTCTCATATAAGATGATATGACAAGGAACATGTGAACTGCGGCTGTTCGCATGTCCTGTTTCAATTCATAATATAATAAAAAGATATTATTATGTTATGTTATATAGATACAAAAGTATACTTCTGCATTTATATATATAATATAATATAAATGCAAAGGTATTTCTCATTGTACATTACCGTTTCACAACTGCTCTCTCTACTTTCAAGTATGGTATATTATCTATGCTCTCAACTCAACAAATCGAGATTGATTTTACAAGAACCGATATAAGGTACGTAGGCTCAGTAAGAAGAGAAATAGGGGATGAAAGTTATGAAATAGGTAATAAGTTTGTGTAGAGGAAGACGTTTGTATAAATAATACTAGATAGTAGAATATAATGCTGTAGAATTATTATGTTCAGCTGGTATTTTGTAGACTCAATGTGTATTTGTTGTAGCAATCGAGTAAGAAATAGTAATTTAATAATATAGAATTATTGTAAATGTGAAGATTTTTATGTGTCTTATAATAATATAATATGGAACTCTACGTGAAGAGTCCTGAAACTGCTAATAGAAGTTTTAAAGAGAATGTAAAAAAAAGGAAAATAAAAAATTAAGCGATTTATCTATCTAATTTAACCGAATTAGTAATTCAGTAGTAGGGTGAGATTAGGTAGGTAAATTACAGGATAAGACGCATGATATCTTTAGTCCTTTGGATGGCAACGCATGAGGGCAGCATACAATAACGTCATATCCTTGTTATGTTATGTACATGGGCGACAGTTACTTAGGTAGAACATTGCAAATACATAATAAAAATCTATTTGGAACGAATAGGATAAGCTCTTAAATCAACATTACATGAATAATAGTTTTAAATGAAACTTTCTGAACTCATTTAAGTCACTATATAATTAAAATGCAGCAAAATATAACAAAGAGTGCTTCAATAATACAACAAATATCACATCTCGCAAAGAGTACCATGTTACCTACTTGAAATTAGCTTTCTGGAATTGGTTTCGGGTCTGATGTTCCTTGGCGTATGGGTCCACTTGGTGTGATAGGCACAATTCTTTCACCTTTTGCAATTTCAATATTTTTTGGAGCAACCACTGTTAGCACTCCGTCTGAAGAAAGTCTGGATTGTACAGCATCACCATTGATATCATTAGGCAACTTGTACCGTCTAACGAAGTGCCTCGAGACGAAACCGTGTTCATCTTTCTTTTCTTCATGTTTGCCTTCAATCACGATATTTCCTCCAGCTATTTTAACAGTGATTTCATCAGGTGCGAAGTGTTGTACGTCTACGTTGATTTGCCATTTATCCTTATCCGCTTTTATGGATGATGCTGTATCCGGCCACCACGGTCTTAATCTTGATATTAAAGGACTTGTAGCTGTTGGAGCATCAGTTACATCTTCTGGAGTTAAAGCCAGCCCGAAATTCTGGTCAATAAGGCGCTTCGGCCAATGTGGTATATCATAGTTGAAAAAATATGGTAGAAGAGACATGTTTCTGATCGCTAGTTGTTTCAGTACACTACTGTTTCTGGATTCATGCGATTCGTTTATATAGATACGAGAGCGTCATACTAACACGCATCGGATATATTTAGGACGTCTCGACGCTTCTCGATGCATCCCGTCTTATAATAAACGTAAATATTCATTGATAGCGTTGATTAACATTGGACTGCGGTTGTTGTGGCATCACAAACACGTAATACACCATAAATATTTTATTTATATGCGTTTAGCTATATCTAAAAAGTTAAAAAATAAAAGCGGGAAATTGCAATTTACATTTACACCTAGGGTTCCGAACAAGCAATGTATTGATTATTTAAGTATTCTATCTACAAGAAATTGACAATAGACGTGAATGTAATTAGGATTACTTACAATGAATTAGTTGTATTGTACAACACACAATACAACAGATTCATTATCAGATCATCACTTTATTAGGTATTAATTTATATACATATAATAGTATATTTATACATATATGTATTATTTTATAACAATTTATTATATATACATATATTTTGCCTATTCTATATTTTTATGCCATGTCTTTGTGCATTAGAGTCAAATAAATAAATAGGATTTTATTGATTAAGACCAAATACCTATAAATGAGGCCGTATAATAACTAAGAGTATAAGTGGAGAGTTTTATATTATAACTAATACTATTACTATCTATAACTAAAATACTAAGAAAGTCTTGACAAATCTGTGCGAATACATATTATAGTTTTAATACTAATAAATATTTTTATTTCTATGACATTCTAGATAGTACATACATATAATGTTTACACATACTTTTATCAGCGTGTTAAGTGAGACATGATATAAAAAGTACTTCTAGAATGTACCTATATGACAATTCCAAATTTTACTAAGTAACTACTGATAATTATAAATAAATTTTCCAGAAGAATCTGACATAGAAAATGATCCGCGGATGGCAGGCCATAAAACTATAGATTCGGTAGTTGCTCCAGTGAATGAATTTATTTATTTTATTTATGTTTTATTACACCAACATTATAAGTAGATACATTGAAAAAATAAAACAATATGTTGAAGAAATAAGTAGGTACAGGCAGTCTTATTGGCAACTTAGTCTTTTCTACACAATTTTAGGAAAGAATGAAGTAAAAATAAAGTAATAAATAAAATAAGTTTGTTGACTGACTATAGCAGCTCCGACTTAGCCGCTAAAACTTATTTCCACTATTCGTTAAATTATATGTCATGAGTGGAAATAAGTTAAAAAAGAAAAGTATATACAGTACAATGGAGTTTCCTTTTACTTTGTTCTAAACGGTATCCCGATACAAACTTGTAATACAGCTATGTTACTTACTGACAACATAGCTTTTTGCAAGTTTATTTCAAATCGCTTAAGTATTTTTTGAGTTAATAAATTACAACAAAAAATTAAAATTTTCCTTCCATATAATATTAGTACAGCACTAGTGGGCGAGCGAGTACAAAAATAGTTTTAATGAGTCGACTCATATTGTTGTTATTGACTCACGGAAGCTTCAGTGTTACGGTCATGTATTATTTTTGTTCTAGTACTATTACCGAGGTAAACTTCGTACATCGTCGTTTTTTTATACTACGATGATGGCCAAGCATACGGCTACCAGTGGAGCACCAGTGGAAGATCATAAGATGAGCATGAGGCCTGACCTCATGCTCATCTTATGATCCTCCACTGGTGTCAGTTAGCTCATGACATAGTATAGTAATATTCACAAGGAATTAATCACGATGGTTTTCAAGGAGGAACCGCATGGAGGTTAAGCTGACATGGTACATTGTTAGTAATGGGATTATTAGTCCACATTACTAACCATCCCCCTCCACCCTTTGAAATACTGGAGTTGTCACATTGCTGACCCTTAAGAACCCTTAATATTTCCCTCTAGAAAAACCCCACGCTGTAGGTAGTTTATCGAGATTGTCGATACTTTCTCAAAGACCTATTTCTGCCTCAAGCAGCTTGCTATCAAAATTGTTTCTGCTTGACACGAACCCGCTACAATCGGAAGTAAGGCGGTGCATCAAGACCTAAACTTCTTAACTTCGTAAACTAGATTTAACGTAGGACTGAACTTTCGCAACTATACATTTTATTGCAAATGCGAAGATTCGTTGTTCCATTATACGAGACTGCCTTTATATCTCAACAGCATGCAAGACTAATGTAACCATTCATTCCACTTTGTGTGAAACACTCACGTTTTCAGGGTGTCTGTTCCGCAGTGACATTAGGAATGTCTCTTTGCTTAGGCTCTCAAATAGACTTTGGAGTCTGTGTAAAAAAATAAAGAGTGTGAATATTATTCGATATATGATTATTCAGGTATATTAACTGTTTTATTATTTTTTAAGAATAATAATTATTAATGTTATTTAAGAATTATTCTAGTCATTACAAATGTGAAAGCAAGTTTAAAGTGAGCTGGTATATGTCGCCTACTACTGATACCTATGTTATCTGTGCTACCACTATCTTAATTCCATTTTGCATAAATATTTCAGTAATGTTAAACGATATTAATTAAATGAGTCAGTTTTCGCGTGGAGGTAGACCTGATAGGATACATTTATAGCCCTTTAACTAACAATCCTCTGCCTCCTTGTAATATATGACATGTACAGACATAAATAGCTAATGTTTCTTTGAGATACCTTAAATACTTGTCCTATAAAATGTAAATAAATATATAGTTTTTGATTCAAAATGGTTTATTACTCTTAAGGCCGCATGGGTCAGTTTTCTGTTCCGTTAATACGGATTCTTCTTTTTCCTTCTTCGGTTCTGAATACGAAATGGGTATTAGTGTTTCACAAGGCAGATTAGAGGTTGAACAGAACTTCCTTGGGGCAGTAATAGTGAGGATACCATCCGCAGATAACTTCGATTGCATCGTAAGTGGATCACATCCTTGTGGCAACTTGAATTTTCTCACGAACTGTCTCAAAACGAACCCTGTCTTGGTTTTCCTTTCCTGCTTACCCTCTATAATAACGTATTCAGGGCGTGCTTTTACTCTTATCTCCTCTTTATTGAATTGCCGTACATCAATGGACAATTGGAATTTTTCTTTCCCTATTTTTATTGAGGATCTAATATTTCGGATTTGTTTTGGATAATTACATAATACGGGTCGCAAACGGGTGGCTAAGATTGAATTCAGTATCATATTTTTAAACTAAACTCTAACAAATATGAAGTTATCATATTATACTCATCACAATTTATATTTTAAAATTATTTAGCTGGAAAGTAAATAATACGTATTTAGAATTTATCTAACATCTCGCAACCAGCATGAATATGACAGGCAACTGACAAATAAATATAAAAATTTTACAATAAAATAAACTACGAGATCTTGCCGTTTGAGGTCGGTTAGTAATAAGTTTGTTTTGTTTAGATTGTTATTATTTTCGTGCAAGAATAGGTTATTTAATTATAAGAAAAAGTGTGTAAGCATCCTAAATCAATATTTTATTTGAGCAACATTAACGATTAAAAATCTCCCAATATATTAAATGGGTTTTATGTGCTTCAATTATATTGTGTTACGTAAATAAAAATTTACCCTTTCTTAAACTAGATATATAGGTAAATTGCATTTTTGTTAATTAAGTTAAAATCCATAGAGTAATAGCTACTTATCTACATTTACAAATATATGCTCATTCTTACTAATACTTTTCATACCTAACATTTGTAAATAAGAAATATACCTGTAAAGTCTGTAAGAAATAAAAAACACCAATTATAGCTTAAACATACTTTATTGAAGAAAATAAAACACTTTATGACCACTAATTACTCAATAATCAGTCTCAAAAATATACGAATATTGTAAAATAACGCAAAGTTTACTTTTTCTCGACGAGTGCCGGCTCGTTTTGATCCTTTATTTCCTTCCTGACAGGACCAGTCTGCGCGATGGGTACCTTCCTCTCTCCTTTAATAGCATCTGGTGTCTTTCTTGGTGCAGTAATTGTAAGCACGCCATCAGATGAAAGTCGTGACTCCACAGTTTCTGATTCGGTACCTTCGGGTAACGCATACCGCCGCACGAACTGTCTGGAAATGTATCCATGCTCGTCTTTCTTTTCCTCATGTTTCCCCTCCACCACGATGTGCCCATCCACGGTCTTCACAGAGATCTCCTCAGGCGCGAAATGTTGCACATCAAGATTCACCTGGAACTTATCCTTGTCGGCCTTAATACTAGAACCGATGTCACGAGCGGCGGCAGCTATTTGTTTCCATGGTCTGTAGTAGTCTTGAGATATCAAAGGACATTGAACGGTGGTGAGCAGATCCTCCGGTGTTAATGATAGACCAAAGTCTTGGTCGAGGAGACGTCTAGGCCAATAACGGTGACTGCGAGGTGATTCGTAACCGAACACGAAAGGTAGTAGTGACATATTGTATGTTTTCACGTTTTAGGTACGTTGTGATAATCACGAGAACTTGTTAGCGTAATAGTTCAGCGCTTGCAATGTTTACCAACACTTGCTTGTTATTGAATGCAATGCCAGCCACCGCTATCAGGCATATTTATATGAACTCGACGCCCGGCGGTAAACGCCATCTAGCGTAGAGTAGAAACTTCTCGAAAATGCAATTGGCGCGCATGTGACGTGTATATTTTCGTGACGTTTTAATCGATATTTCGCGAATGTTGTAGACTATACTGAGAAATAATTTCAGATACGTATATTTTTTGATAATATTATACGAATATTATCTACGTTTTTAACGTCCTATGCAGTTTTAGATGATAATAAATATTCTGTGGAAAACATGAAATATATCTACCAAATGAAAAGGGCGCATAACTTCATTTATAAAGATCATTAGCAGCATAATTTGAATTTATACATATATAAATAATAGTTAAAAACTTTCATCCCCTATTTTATTTTACCCCCCCTAAGGGTAAAATTTTTAAAAACTTTGAATGTCAACTTTGAATGAAAAATAAATAAATAATTTATTATTCATTAGCAGCCTCAAAAATAAGTTTTAAGCTTCTAGCTTCAAAAATGATGATTCATTCATACAATTGTTCATTCCCAATTTTAACCCCTTACAACCCTGTTTACCACTTTTAACCCTTACAATTTATAAGATATATATATATATATATATAAATATAGTAAAATAGTAAAATATAGTAAATCTATATGTCTAAACTGAAGCAATTTTTAATCACCTGTACATGGGTAATAATTAAATGTATTTGCAAATATAATATTATTTAATGAAATATTAGTCTTTGATTGAAAAATAAACATCAATATCCATTCATATTGTTAACATAATGTAAGTACCTATTTATTTACGATTTTGGAGCTAGCACGTAATATATAACATACAAAAGCTGTAAAATAAAATCAATTCATGAAATACGGGTGAATCCAATATTGTAACAAGTGTTAGAATTATATAGATTAGTATGGCAACACTGAACAGAGATTAATAGAAAATGTCTTGCTTGTACAATGTCATGTCTTCTGCTACAATAAAAGTATTAAAATATAATAACAGTATTTATCATTATAACATGGCGCAGTCGATAATTTAGACTGAAAAAAGTGATAGAGAGTGATAATAAATAAGTGATATTGAGTAAGTAAACCAAAAAATATGGATATGTTGAAGCCGCCGCCATCATTGTCGTTTACCGGCGACATTGCCGAAAATTACAAAAGATTTAAGCAAAGATATCAGTTATATGTGAAAGCGTCAGGAGCTGATGTAAAATTGAATGATGAGGGACAAATAGCATTATTTCTTCACACAATAGGTGACGAGGTAATACAAATATATAATACTTTTGATTTAACCTCTTCTACAAAGTTCGATGACCTAATAAAGAAATTTGATAATTATTTCATACCACAGAAAAATGAGTCTATGAATAGACATATTTTCTTCAGTAGAGTTATGAAGGAAGACGAATGTATCGACGATTACGTAACAGAATTACGTATATTGAGCAATGATTGTAATTTTGAGTCACTGCGAGACAGTTTAATAAGGGACCAGATTATTCGAGGAATAAGAGAAAAGAGCCTACGTGAAAGATTATTAAAAGAGCATGGTCTTGATCTAAATAAATGTATACAAATATGTAAAACGTTCGAAATAACTTGTATACAGATGCAGAAATTTGAAAAAGAGAAAATAGAGGTAGCAGAAATAAAGAAAAGCAGTAAGTATGAGTACAACAAGAGCCAGACAAAGGGAAAAAGTCAAACAGCACAAGGTAGACAAGCTGAGGTATCAATACATAATGCAAGTAAGAAAAATAGTTTGTGTTATAAGTGTGGTTATAGTCATGGGTATAAATGTCCAGCATACAATCTACAGTGTAGAAAGTGTGGACGTCGTGGTCATTTCGCGCGAGTGTGTAAAAATAGAAATAAAGTGCAAGTGATAAATGAATCCGTATCATCTGACATTGTGATTAGTTCTATAGAGGTTAAATAAAAGTGATTTATTTGAGTCTCTTCAAGTAGGAAGCAAAATTATTGACTTTAAGTTAGATACAGGATCTGATTGTAATGTGATACCATTGAAAATTATTAAGCAGTTAGGTTGTAATACAATGATTAAAAGTAATAATATTAAGTTACATAATTATGACGGGTCACAAATTAATAGTTTAGGTTTTATAGACTTGAGATGTAAACTGATCAATAATAGGCAAGTTAATTTGAAATTTCAAGTAGTAAAAGCAAATTGTACACCAATATTAGGTTGGAATACTATGGAACATTTAAAACTGTTTGAACGTAAATATCTGAGGCAAGTAATATGTAATAAAAATATGCAGTGTCATGATATAATAAATAAGTATATACAGATATTTGATACAAATAAAATATATATATATATATTAAGCTAAAAGAAGGTGCGCATTGAACCCTGTAGAGGGGTACCAATTGCATTACATAAGCCATTAAAGATTGAATTAGATAGAATGGTACAGATGGGTATCATAGATAAAGTTACAGAACCCACAGATTATGTCAGTAATGTAGTTATTGTTAAAAAGCCAGATGGTAAGTTAAGAATATGTATGGACCCAGGCAATTTAAATAATTGTATAAAAAGGGAACATTTTAAGTTACCCACATTTGAAGAGGTGTCCTCTAAAATGACGGGAGCGTCTATATTCAGCAAAATAGATGCAACAGCAGCATTTTTTCAGATTAAGCTATCAGAAGCTAGTTCTAAGTTGTGTGTATTTAATACTCCTTTTGGAAGATATTATTTTAAGAGACTTCCATATGGCATAAGTTCTGCTCCAGAAATTTTTCATAGGCACTTCAAAGAATTGTTTGAAAATATTCAAGGTTGTGAAGTATTTATAGATGATATAGTTATATATGCTAAGAATAAAGAGGAACATGATTTTATCTTAAATAAGGTACTGTATACTGCGAAAGAAAATGGTGTTATATTAAATTTAAATAAATGTCAATTTGGAGTAAAAGAAATATATTATCTTGGTCATATATTGTCAAAGGATGGGATTAAACCTGATCCTCAGAAAATTAATGCTATAATCTGTTTAGATAAACCTAAAAATGTAAAAGAGGTACAAACTGTATTAGGAATGATAACATATGTAGCAAAGTTTATACCTAACTTGTCACAAACATGTGAACCTTTAAGAAAACTCATTAAAAAAGATTTAGAGTGGAGATGGGGTAAGGAACAGGAATTAGCATTTAAAACTTTAAAGGAAATATTAATATCAGCACCAGTTTTACAATATTTTGATCCGGAGAAGTCCTGTAAGATATCAGTTGATGCGTCTAAAGATGCATTAGGTGCAGTATTGTTGCAAAATAATCTTCCTGTTGCTTATGCTTCAAAGGCAATGACCGAGACACAAAAAGTATATGCACAAATAGAAAAAGAAATGTTAGCAATTGTCTTTGGATGCACACGTTTCCATCAGTATATCTATGGGAAAAGAGTACAAGTAGAGAGTGATCATAGACCCTTAGAGACTATTTTTAAAAAATCGTTATGTGATGTTCCACTTAGGTTACAGAGAATGAGATTGCATTTACAAAAGTATGATATAGATGTTAAGTATAGGCCTGGAAAAGAGTTATTAATTGCAGATGCATTATCTAGGAATTATATTAAAAGTAATGATGATATTAAGGAAAAAGAAATAGAGGCACAGGTAGGTATGATTATAGAAAATATTCCAGTTAAATCTTGTAGATTAGAAGAAATTAAGAAAGAAACAGAAAATGACAAGGAATTTAATTTATTAACAAAATATATTATAGAAGGATGGCCAGATAATATAGAGAAAGTACCAGACAGTTTGAGAGATTATTGTACATTCAAAGAAGAACTTATTGTATATGATGATTTAATATTTAAAAATAACTGTGTAGTAATACCAATGTCAATGAGACAAAATATGCTTGAACAGTTACACTACAATCATTTAGGTATTGAAAAATGCAAGGCTAGAGCTAGATCATGTATATTTTGGCCTCATATGAATAAAGAGATAGAAAATAAGGTACAGAATTGTAATACATGTTGTAGATTTAAAAAACGTAATAGTAAAGAACCTATGACCATAAGAGACATGCCTCATAAGCCATGGTCAGTTTTAGGAAGTGATGTTTTTTATTATAAGGAAAAGCCATTTCTAATTATTGTAGATCATTACAGTAAATACTTTGAAATTATAAGTTTAAGTAATTTATCTGCAGAAGTAACAATTGCTGCATTTAAATCAGTATTTGCTAGATTTGGTATTCCTGATATTTTATATTCGGATAATGGTACAAATTTTTGTAATCAAAAGTTTAGAGAATTTACAAAAAATTGGAATTTTACTCACAGAACTAGTAGTCCTACATTTCCTCAGTCAAATGGTCTTGCTGAGAGATATAAACGGTTAAAAATTTGTTTAAAAAAGCTGATTATGAAAAGAAAGACAAGTATTTAGCATTATTAGAGTACAGAAATACTCCTAAAGTAGAAATGGAGAATAAAACTCCTTCTGAATTGTTAATGAATAGAAATGTTCAAGGTTTATTACCACAATATTTATGTCCAAGTAATGATAATATAAGAATACAGACTAAATTGTACAAAAACAGTTTTAGACAGAAAAAATATTTTGATAAAAACACTAAAAAGTTACCAGAATTGAGCATTGGGCAAAAAGTTATATTAGAATGTGATAAAAAGCCTTTTACATATGCTGAAATAATTAGAAAAGATTATAGACCTAATTCATATAAAGTAATGTGTGAAAATGGACAAATGCTAGATAGAAATAGAAAGTATTTGCATAATTGTAAAGATCAGTCTAAGCTTATTATTAAAAAAGAAAGGAAAATAGATGTAGATTGTGATAGTGGTCAAAGTAAAGATTGTGATGATAAAGAGCAAACTGTAATTAAAGATAATAATATTGAGTTACAAGTTCAAACTGAAAGTCACAATAATGAAAATCATTACTTTACCACTAGGTCAGGTAGAATAGTAAAACCTCCAAGTTATTTAAAAGATCATGTTTATTAAGTTCATTATTGTGAAGGAAGGGGGATGTAACAAGTGTTAGAATTATATAGATTAGTAAACACTGAACAGAGATTAATAGAAAATGTCTTGCTTGTACAATGTCATGTCTTCTGCTACAATAAAAGTATTAAAATATAATAACAGTATTTATCATTATAACAAATATTTTATTTGATATTTTTTTAAATAACTCTAATTATTTCAATACCTATATAAGTAAATAGTTATAGGAATGTATATAGGTATTAAATAAGCAATAAATAATTTTGATACTCATTTATTTATTAAACCCCTTAACCGTAAAATTAAAACAAAAAAATAATGATCATCGTATATTTAAAAAACAATATTATAAATACCTCCCTAGGTATGTAATTTGCAAATAAAGGAATACTGAACCTAGAATGTCTTTTGTAGAAATAGAAAATATATATCCCTAAGTACTAATTAAAAGTAATTAAAATCCAAAGTCAAAGTAACGACCTTGCACCACGCCTAAAATATTCTAGAAAATGCATACAGTATCAACGAATGCATTGTCGACTATTCCAGACTAGGGGAAGAGACGCAGCGGGGTTCGGTGGCAATCTCGTTGGTTCTAGTAAAGGCAGAGTCACTCAACTCGCGGACCGCATTGGTTTATGTGACGGTGTGATATGGTTTTAATGTTAGTTGTCATTAATAATATATATTCTATGTTTTCTGAGCAATCACAAGTCTAATAATACTGATATGTAGAAAGAATAGAAATAGTATTCTATATTCTATTCTTTTTAGCGTCCTTAATTAAAAGTTTGGTTTAAAAATAGATTTACATTACTTTTAATCTCATTTTTATTTTTTTATTAAATCCCACTCATAAATCTCAGCAAGTATTTTGGTTACGCATATTGTTGAAACTATTAAAAATAACTCGTTCTCCATCTTCATTATTCTGGTATATTGGATTTATAGTAACTTAACACAGCTGACATTATTGTCCAAACTAAACGTATACACAAAATTTCAGCTCAAACGGTTGAAGATTTTTGTTTCAAAAATGAGTTCGAAATGGTGTTCATTAGGACATTAAATAAAACAAATGTTGAATACAATCAAAGAAATAATATCTTCAACTACTTAGTTTTTATCTTCTCTAGGCATCACTACCTCATGCCCCATTATAATCACGACGTCTGTACAGGTAGGAAAAGGCAGTGTAGTATCGCTGGGTAGTAATAATATATATTTTTTGTATTTCAGTGATTTGATGATTTGAAATTGACTTGGAAAATAGGTACATATTACAAAAATGATAAAAATATCTTTAGAATAAAGAAAAAATGCAAACACTTGGTAAACACTTTTTTAGTAATTACTTACTTTTTGTCTTTATAAAACATTTCGAAAAAATAATATTACCGAGTATTAATATAATTGAGATATGTTAGATTTATTTTACGACCCAGGAATTTGAGCACTTCTGAACGTGCTAAAGTATTTGTTTCGCGTATTTTCTACGCGACACTAGATGGCGTGCAACGTATATAAGCAGCGGCAGGATTCGAATCGAACATTGAAAATAATCAAGCGATACGATATAGACGGTAGAGTAAAACAGTACAGTGAAATTTCTCAGTTCTTAGTCTTTGAGTAAATTTCGGGTTTCAATTTGTTAAAATGTCTCTATTACCGTACTTCTTCGACGATTGGGGCTTCGGGCGTCCACGCCGGCTTGCTGACCAGCATTTCGGTCTAGGTCTAACGCCACAAGACTTGTTAACCGTGGCCGCTGGTCCTCTTTTGACTCAAGAGTACTACAGACCCTGGCGACACTTGGCAGCTGCGCAGCGAGACATAGGATCCAGTATTAAGGCCGACCCGGACAAACTGCAGATCAACTTGGATGTACAGCATTTCGCACCAGAGGAGATCTCTGTGAAGACGGTGGACGGGTATGTAGTGGTGGAAGGGAAGCACGAAGAAAAGAAGGACGACCATGGTTACATCTCCAGACAGTTCGTGAGAAGGTATGCGTTGCCGAAGGGTACAGAGCCAGAGACCCTACAATCCCAGCTGTCTTCTGACGGTGTGCTTACCATCACAGCGCCGAGGAAGATTCCAGAAGGCGTCAAGGGAGAGAGGAATGTGCCAATTACGCAGACCGGTCCCGTCAGGAAAGAAATTAAGGACCAAAGCGAGAATACCAATGATAAGGCGAAAGATAAATAAATATCCTAATAATCCTAATAATACAGATAAATGTATTTATATAATTATATATATATATATATATATTTGTATGAAACCTTCCAAAGATTATGATAGTTTGCTAGTGCCATTCGGAGACTGATTTTTAAATAATTTTGTTAAATAATTGCATTTCTGTTTGAGAAAACAATAAATATTTATGCTTGTTTTACATTAGTGTTTCTTCTTTATACCATAAACATAGATTATGTTATTTTTGTTCCATTTTACTTCTCATTGGACTTATTTAGAACAAACATGTTGTCAATAACCACACTAGATGGCGGTATTTAGTACACTACTCTCTAACTAAACTGCTTTATCGACATCATTCCCGGTCTTTACAGAATTTAAATAATGCTTTAAGCAGTATTTTGTTCCGTTCTTCACAGAATTTAAATAATGGTTTAGTAGTAGTTTGTTTTCATACCTTTTTGGAGGTAGGTTTTCTTGGTTGATACGCATTAATGCTGGTGAATTCACAATGATAATATTTATCCATTAGCTTATCACCTACTATTGACTCGCCAGCGTATATCGTCAACGCGGGAGAACCATTCCATCGAAATCCATGAAAAACTCTTTAATTAAATGACTAATGCAATTTTTTTATGAATCACTTTATTTAGCTACAACAAAATGAAGTAATATACCACATCGCAAAGGACAGTGGGATAAATTAATACAATATATTATTATAATTATTATAATAGTGTGTATAAAACAATGATATATTCTTTCTGAAGCTCAGTTACGCATATCACTACTGTGCTGTATTTACGAATACAATTTGTTTAATTTCAATATCGGTTTGGAAAATGGTTATAGTCAAAGTTATTAGAAACAATGTTCAATTTACATATGAAATGAACACATGTCTTGAATTGACTTAATAATTATTAGCATACTAGCTGTACTGCGTGACTTCGTCTGCGTCACATAAACGATCCCGTTTTTGGAACATTTTTGTTTTTTTAGAAGCTGCGCTCCAGTTGGCGACTATTGCCGGCGATGACGTTATATAGTAATAGATTATAGCCTTCCTTAATAAGTCGGCTATCGTACATTAATTATTGTTTGACGGGATTATTTCACCTTTTTTTACGTTAGATGACGCTGTACTGGATAACTGTAATGTAATTAGGTAGACATTTTTCAATTCGAATTCAGCGTAAAGCGTTCACCAAACATAATCGTTAACTTTATAATATTAGTATAGACGTATTACATCATTTATTACTTTCGTTCTTTCTTTCAGTACCGAACTAGGAGAGTAAGGTAATTAAGAATAAGATTTATAGGAAATAGATTGTTTTTCGTTCGTTTTTCACTATAACAGATAATCCAAAGGAGTAGAGCAGATCTGCTCCTTTGGATTAATGATAGTGTCCATCTCCGTGATTTATTGTAGTCGAAAGTCGTTATGTTCTAGTCGAATTTCATTATGATAAGCTCAGCCATTTAGTCGTGAAAAGATAAAAGACAGAAGCCCTTATAATATTAGTATAAATATGAAGAGGAGAATATTTGTTTCTTTAATTAATTAAAGAAACAAATATTCTTTACTTTATATTTTATTTTTTACTTAAACGTCCGTCATATTAACGGGCGCAGTGAGTTTGTTATGTTTTTTTATGAAACACATATGGACCAAAAGCAAATAATATGTAATATTACTACAAATATTAGTAGTATTAGTTATTACATAGCCTAGAATTAAAGTAGTCTTCTATCAGAACTAAAAAAAATAGTAATGGGAAATTTGCAATTGAAAATTTATATACAAAAGTTAAATCTTCATATTTATATAATACCATGTACTATATTACTACTACTTAATTACTTTTTCTATGATAATACTAATTAATTGAACAGATCCTATCTGTAGTACGCAAGTATACAAATTTGGGTACCAACTTTAGTTAGTACTTGTAACACTTTAGTGTTGCTGTATTTAACACATTTCCAAACCGGTATTAAACGTTTCTACTATGAACATATTGCTATATATTCTACTATGTCGCGGTCACAGATACTCGACTAACACCAAACATAGTTTATTAAGCGACAACAAATCAGTAACTTTTAGTTACGCCCTTCTGCACATTATGCGACATTTTAATTTAGTATTAATATGTAATATTATATAATCAGTGGTATGAATGAATTTATTAGCATTACGAATTAATCAAATTAATTTTTACTTTTAATTAATTAAACAGCCGTTTCAATAATAATATTTGTATTATAATTATTAAAGATGTTAAAACAGTTTTGAACTGTTACAAAATATAATTGTGACAATTATATTTTGCAGATTAATCCATAATAATTAAATCTGATTAAAGCATATAATGATGATGAAGATGAAAGGTTTTTTAGACATTACATCTGTTTTTATTAGTAAATCTTCATTTTATGTTATGCATAAAAAGTTGTGTATAAGTTTTATAACATTAAATATAAAAACCTTTAAACATGAAATATTGCAATCCATTTCTAATTAAACAAAGCAATCGTAATTTTTAGTATATTACAATTTGTTTGTTAACTGAATTTTTACGTACAATTCTGGGATATTTTTGTAAGCAAAGGTATTTTATTTTTATATCTGGCTACGAAATTATTCGTCTTTATATGTATTGTTTATAGTTACACAGTCGCATGATGGGCAGAAGGCTAAAGAAAATCTTAAAAATATAACATTAAGTATTTCTTCTGTAGTATTTTAACATAATTTTTTTACAGAAGTTTTATACTTTAGGAAAAGTGACATATTTTTAATAATGTTAAAAATATGTGAAAATAACATTGTGTTGTATGTGAATTGTAATATATAATTTGTTTTATTTATCAGAAAGATACCTGACGTAAATATAAACAAAGAGATAAATTAGAAGGGACCTACGAATATAAGTTATTCATAAGCAGGGGCTTGAATTTTGTTCTTCCCAAAATGTATTACCCAAATTGATAGATTGATGACATTAATCATCGTTGATATAATTTCAGCATTTATCTAAGCCCGGATTCACACTAATTTCTTTGGACTTAAATATTTTATGTGTTTCGTACATTATTCTGACTACACCATTAATGTAGTATGAAATAGACGTAGCAATGATAGAGACTATATTATGAGTAAAACAGTGTTTCTCAAACTGTGTGTTGCGACCTTTAAGAGGGAAACTCTAGGTATAAGAAATAGTCACATTTCTGTTGGTACTGCTTTACAATAAATAAATACAATTCAATGTAATATGTCTTTAAAAGCAGTGACACAAGTCTATGGGTGTACCAGCCATGGGCTCAGGATGGGGCAGCAGTCCAAAATATGTAACTAGCAAACTATACCCGTAGTATTACCCCGATTATTTTTTTCCTACAAAACGGTTACACCCTATAGTACCCTTACCTACCCTACCCTATTAAATATCTTAGTTGGTATTTAGATATTTTTTTCTTAGGTTCAGTTAGGTTACCTTAGAGATCAGAGCTGGCATGGCTAAACCCATACACAGGTCGTGTTTTTTTTAAAACACTAGGTTTAATTATTTAGCTTACAAATTGTTATTGTATTTTAAGTGTGAAAAACACTGCATAGCTAGTATCTGATTATATTTTGTCTGCCTCTGATGAAGATGGCCAATATACAGATAATAAAAATAGATATAAAAATTGTAAGTGTTTATAAGTAGAGTATTTACCTATTTTATTGATATGTATATTGATTAATTTATAAATTAAATAACAATAATTTGCTCTTTATATCCTTCATACAAGTGGAAGGCTATTAGCGATACGTGCCAACTTACAGTTTAAAGAATATAACGATACTTAAAACAAATTAAATTATTTATAATATTTACAAAAGAAATTTAATTCTTTCGGAAAGAATTATATACGCAATCGCTAATTGCTGTCCAATTATATATATTCAGTGTTAATAATGTATAATTAACAAAATATTTATTTATTAGTGCATACAATAAATCAATTATACCTACAAATTATATATATATAATCTATGTCTGTATAACTGTTAGGTAACTATTATATATAAATTATTTACATGAAAGGCGTAAGGCGTGCATTTGTACAAATAATATTCATAATAAAAGGGACGTATGACATTACACCGTCTGTTACATATTTTATAATCTATAATTCCAAACTTCAACATCGTCTTAAAAGAAGAACTGAGTACCTGTAAATTCTTTATACATTTCATTTAAATATATAAAACTTTAGCAAATACAAAAAGATATACGACGACATTGTTTATTCACAACTACAACAGAATATCAACATTCAAATTAGAAATATTTCGTCCTATTTTCTTTGTAAATTTATTAGATATTATATCTACTTTTTTTCTATAATCTAAGCTACATAAAATGTATGCCACGTTTGCTTTGCAACATCTAATGCTAGAATACAATAGGTACAAAATTGAGCTTTGTTGATATGTATCTTTAGAAGGAAATTTGAGAAAATATTACCATTTCCTCAATATAAACTCGATAGCTTAAGTAGTATCGGCCACTTTAAATAGATCGTCAATTTAACTACAATTGTGCCGAAAATATATATGGATTTCTCGTTTAAATTGTATTAATATCAATATTTTATAAGCAAAATGTATCAGAAATAAAGAAAATTAGTATCTCGATTGTCATTATCATTTTACAGTATAGATCTTAATTGGAAATTCGAGCGCGATTCTATATATTACCTTGGTTATATATTCTATTATTACGTATATGAAATATATATATATACGAAAACTCGTCATAAAATAGCCAAATAGATCGGTTTTGTTATTCATAATGTAATTAATCCGGTCAACAGTGACCGTATACAGATACGATTTTTTATTTACGTTTGCGTTTGATACTACTTTATGCACTATAGTTTATAGTACTTAAAGTAGTATCTACTCGAAACAATTTAGATAGATTGATATCGTTGAGTTTCGAGTATATGGGTTAATATTAGGGTTTCTAATCTTGTAGAAAGACCCCTGGATTAATCCGGTAGCTGATTTGATTATGCACTCATCCTTATACTGGATAGAGGCTATGGGAATATATCTGCACCTCTAAATATCTTCTGTTTGATATGAGTAATAAACTTGTAATGTAAAAACAATACCCTTCCAAGAAGTCTTTAACAATAACAATAATATAAAGGTTTAACAAAAAAACAAAATACTTACTTTTTACGCATCTCAAATATCTGTAGATATATTTATAGCCTTTAAATATATTTACTTTATTATATAATAATAATTTAATAAGGGTATATTTTGTAGAAAATTTTAACTTTATATCGAAAAGTAATGTAGTAGTAGTGTAGAGTATAAAAATTAATTAGCTACATTGTCACACTCGTATTATGCTCGACATTATTAGTTTTAAATTAAAATTTACAGCAGTGTAAAGTCGAATTGACAATCTCTTTAAAGTAGTACAATTATTAAAATATATATATCAAAGTTGATAGAAAATCATAAATGATAATAATATACTAAGCATGAAAGCTTTTCAGTGCACATGTGATTATTTTTACGCTCGGGACTCTTCATAATTATTTGATAATTATAATAAAACAATATAATTTGTTTTATGCTTTTGATATAGGGAGATTTCCAATTATGTCATTGTATTATATTTTTTTAAATTTAATGACATATTGTTATTTGATATTGATATGAGATTAGACAAATATATTTCATACCATTACGAAATACTACGAAGTATTTTATAATTATAAAAAAATATCATTGAGAAAGCTCATATGGCATATGGCCCTTCTAATAGTAAATGGTTACTATTGTGGATGATATATGAATAGACATAAAATAAAATAATAATTTTACAACTAAACCCGAAAGGAAATCTCCTTAATATTTATATTTGTATATACTACACGCTGTTGTATTTACAAATATTTGATTAAATCTTACAATTTTAAACAAAAAACAGTTTTTTTAATACAACGTATTAACGAATATTTAACAATGTAAAATATTACTGAAATAACAAATAACAAGGAATAAAAAATTTAAATTATTAACTAAAAATAAAATCTGTTGCCTTCTTTTGAATCGTTTACAAGCTACCAGCGAAGTACAGTCAGATCTTTTTACATAGTCATCTATACAATTAACAGCGCCTGTCTCTACTCGTAAACGTTAAAACTCTCACAGAACACAAGAATCTATAACTACTCCAAATTAAAGCTTCTCATTTTACCAATTTAACACATTACGTACCCTATGACGTGATGTCCCAGAAATACATATATTCTAAGTGTCGTCTACTTAACGTAACTATAATACACTGGCGGACAAAAAAACTATTCGATCTACCAGAAACAATAATTATACGAAAATAAACCCTATGTGATTGCAATAAGGATAATTAAAGTAGGTCTATATTATAATTTACATATTTTAATGATTTTCATTCTAGAATGTCATCAATTTGTTATGAAATATTTTTTAATGACGAAGCTCTTTGGATATTTCTTATATCTAGTGTTACTTAATACACGTTATAAATAATATATACTAAGTGTAGTTATTGCACTAGAATGTATAGTATTCTCTCATCTAGTACGTATAGGTAAGCATACAGGAATAGTCGTAAAGGGCCAAATATAAAGGTAGAAACTCAGCAAAATGAACCATTGTCATCAAGGAATAGAGTAGAAATCTGATAATACATTTTGAACTAAATAAATTTAATACTGAATTGATCACGTAACCGCGCGGTGTGTGTGTGGAAAGTATTAAAATAATTTTAAATTTTCCATCGTATTTCTAGGGTAAAGTTTTTCAATTTTATGGTTTTTCACTTGGTATACCATTTACGACTAACCCTGTATTATAAATGCTTCTAATAACGAAGTATTACTAAATATTGACTATAAATTTTATGATTTAGTTAATGTTTTGTAATAAAAATTTAACATAAAACAATTTCAACAAACATAGATTTAAAAACCAAAATATATAAAAAAAATACGTAAAGGAGACTTATTTAAGTATTTTATTATTTTGTCCGCCATTGCATCGCCTAATGGTGCATTCACATTGACCGTTAAACTGCTACGTACAGTTTGTCTAACTAACAGAAAGGCAAGGTCCTACAATATCGGATTGTAACAGTCATTCTCAATAATCTCTGTGGGAGTGAGATAGGTAACAGGTGAACAAGACCTACTGTAGCGAGGTGGCATGAGAGACGCGAGTGTAACCAAAGATAAACGAATGAGAGACATAGAAGATAGGAGTGTGAGAGAGACGGTTGTAATGAAGATTGAAAAGACGACGAGGAAATGTGTTATGGTTAAAATGTTTTAATTCTATTAAAATATCAAAGTGCCGTAAATAGTTAAAAAAATAAACCACCGCGCCGTATCTACTCATATCCAATCAACAATGGTCTTCTGGTAATTATTGTAACAATTGAAGTGTTAATCATGTGACTGACATCCGGCGACGTATGAATGATGAAGATTGACGTGATAATAGATTATTGAGAATGACTACTGTAAATGTAACATATATTTTGCCACAAACACAGATCACAGGTTCGGAAAAACAAATGGACATGAGTTATTTAAAATTAATTGACCTGTATATTTAATATATTGTTCTGTCGAATAGTTATGTATATTTATATAAATTATTATTACTATTATTAAATACCCCTTTATTTCATTAGAAGTACCTATATGTTACTAGAATTTTATGTTAATATAATATTAAATTAACAAATTATCGTAACAAGTATAAATAATTGAATTCAATATGATGGGATGAGATAAGGTAAAATTATAGTGAATTTATTTTAACATAACAAAAATTTGTCTTGACTGGCATGAAAATAAATATACCTTATACATATAGGAGAACTTATACATAAAAAGAAAAAGAAAAATATTTTTTTTATTTAGTACTCTTCACAACTTTAACGAAAAGGCAAAAGCGTAGTCATACAGTTGTATGGCTACGAATAAAGCGATTACTTAGCACTAGAGACATATCTGTATCTGTTTTATTAATTTAATTTTTAGGGCTAGCCACGGATTTCTATAAACAACTTATGTTATCTTAACCAATGATCTGTGTGTGTGCTAGGAAACACCCCAGGAAATGTATCAATAGTTAGTTATAAACGGAAAACCTAACAGTGTAAAAGGCGTAATACACTTATTTACAAAACCCAGCCTTTAAGATCCACTACAAGCACCAGTACCTACTAGTCAAGAACAAAACGGAATACAATTAACTATGATATGTTCAGTTAACGTCTCAGTCTTTATACTACTGCTAGAGTCAGTCCTAAGCTAGTGGATTCCATAATCCCATAAGAAGAGGACGCGATATTTTCAAAACGGAAATCATCAAAAAGCATCGTATTAATTATAGTACATCCAATTTCGTAATACACATGTCTAGAAAAATATTTAAGTATAATTGCACCGGCAACAAGTTCATTAAAATTAGTAAATATTGTAGTACTCACAGCTTTTACGATATGTATCATTTCCTTATGATTATTTACACCTATTTTACTTACAACTACTTCAATATCATTTGTGGTAGGTATTTGTGCATCACCTAAAGCAAGTGCATAGTGCCTAGTGTCCGTATTAACAATATTCACTACACTATTTATAAATTCATCGTAAATAGATACAAAATTGATGTTCTTCAAAATATATCTCTGAGTAACAAAAGCAACAATGTGTAAGGAAATAGATTCGGCGGTGTTGCTGAATAAATTCGAAATAGAATTGACGATATTGATAAGATTGAGGAAAGAGAAATGTTCGTAGTTGTACACGAGTGTGACAAGAATGATGATAATGTAAAACATTGGTATGGGATGGTGAGGGGTGAAAGCGGAACTGGGAGGGGTAGGGTAAATAACGTCTACCTCGGCGATCTTGAATATAGATAATAGTAGATGCGAGGATATGTCTTCATTTTGCGAGTTGATGCGAGTTTTGATCACTTTAAGAACATCGATGCACTCCTCCTGTAAATGTGATATTCTTTACATAAATTTAAAAGAAACAATTAACATTTTATTGGTAAACCGTATGCTGCTTTATGGTAACAGCTATTTTCTTTGTAAAGTGAAATGTCAGGAATGTATTATTGTTATTTAGTTGTCAACTTAGTCTTTTGAAATGGCAACGCAAAATATGTGTCATGGGTATCACAGGACAGTTGTCAGTAGTTCATGTATATAGGTGACGTTTGTCGTCTTTCGTAAGTGTGTTTGTGTCACTTTATAGCAAATACTGTCTGATGGTAACATTTGAACTTCCTCTGACGAAGATGTGATATGCTTGGGTGCGTTTGTGACGTACAAACGGTACCTTTTCTCTGTCGAGGAGTGCTTCTCCAGCATCTCTAAGCAACTCCTGCTCGCGAGGCGGCACGCTGGCAGATATGATGACATTCTCGTTGCTGATGTTGAATAACGTCAATGTACAATTTGTCTGTAAAAAGATTTTAGTAAACATATGAGTTTATATAAGTGAAATATAATAATAAATTATTTAATTATTATATTTTATATTCGTCTCTCTTATAGACCCTTTATTTAAAGACTATAAAGTTACTAATGACTATTTAATGACGATAAAATAGACAGAAGAAAGCTTTCTTCTGTCTACAATAAGCCAATGAAATACTCGTCGTATCATCAAAAAAGTCAAAGGTATTGTTGAGGTTATTACAATTATTTTCAAACCTGGCCAATCCTGAACAACAGTACCTTCTAGTCCTAAGTTATGGGTACTAGACATCTGATAGAAATATTTAGATCCATAAATTATATTAGTGCACACGTATAAAAACAATGGGCTCATTTGAAAATACTTCATTTTCTCTTAAGAGTATATTAGTGGCCCGACCTAGCTTCGCTCGGGTGTTCAAAACTTTGTGAGTTATTTGTGAGATATATATATATATATATATAGTTCTTAAAACGGTAAAATAGTTAAATGAGTAAAATGGTTCCGCTTACTTTCCTTATAATAAAATCTGCTTGTTGTATTCACATAAATTATATAACTTTTCATGAAAATGTATAACTGCTAATTAGTAATATAATGAAGGGTAATAATTTATACCCTATAAAGTATTTCTCTAAATATTGATTAAGATTAAGATTACAACTCACTCCTTCACTATGTACCCCATTAAGATACTGCTGCAAGAGACGGACGGCATCTTCGGCACCGAGGCCAGTGTGGGGCCGGAGTAGGGCTTCGTCGACCGCGCTAAACCCGAGCAAGAGGTAGACGCCTTCAGGAAGCTTGTATTCTCCTGGAATTTCAAAAATATATAATAATTACAATATCCCTGGACAATTCACACAATGCTATCTAGTCCCAAGGTAAGCATAGCTTTTGTTATGCATACTAGACAACTGATATAAATACTTAGATATATTTTTGAGTAAATACATACATAATAGAAAACACCCAGACCTATAAACAATGATACTCATCAATACACATGTTGTGTACAGTGCGAGGAATCGACATCGGGACTATGGGAAACAAAGCGATGTGCTATATTGCTAGATCATCGAGGTTATCAATATGTAGCTAAATAATAATGATAAACAATATGTGTTTTGGACAGACAATAGATTTTATTTATCACCAGCTGTACCAGTGGTTACAGCCGCGTGAAATTTATAGCCTATGTGTTATTCTGATGTATATCTATATTACAGTAATGTTTCATCAAAATCCGTTTAGTAGTTTTTGTGTGAAAGGGTAACAAACATCCATCCATACGCACAAACTTTCGCGTCTATAATATTAGTAAGATAAGTGTCGGAACTTAGATCTAAGATTAATTTTGATTTTGTACGAGGGATAAAATTGAACCAGATGGGTTTCTTTGCCAGTCTTCGAAACTGAAGTAACTAGCTGTACTGGACGGTTCAGTTACGGAGAGTTGTCTCGTCACAAGAAGAACGAGCCAGAAACTTGCGTATAAATATTTTAGGTGTAACTTACATATATGTAACTTACCTGGATTTGGTCTCATACAGATGAAAGATCCAGAATAACAATAGCAGCGCCCTCTGTACGCCTGATAGGCGGGTGCGGCGTGTGAGTAGTGAGCGAGGCGGGACGAGCACGGGGCGCGTGGTACACATGCTACCTTGCAGGACACCTGCAGGGACGATTCGCACACACAAAGATCTGTGCACTCGGCCAGTTCTGCTGAACGGTACAACTGCAACCAGTAATAGATTGATTGTGATATAATTTAATATATTTATTAAATGGCCATCGATACATTACGTCACATTAATGCTAATAATTTTTATCTACCCTTAATGTGTTATTCTTACGACTCCTCTAAGGCGCGTGGGAGAGGTCGTAGAGTTCATAGTATTTTACTTACGAACTTTGTGACTCTTTCAATCTCTTATTACATAATATCACAGTTTTTCGACCTCCCACCTCCCCTTGAACTTGTGACATAATGAAAAAAAACATGACGGTAACGGCCGTCAAATAATATCGTGACATCTGTGGCTTTTAGTATGTTTATAGGGGGCAGCGGAACTGTCTTCTAGCTTCTTTGTCATTACAAATACGTAAAAGAATATCTTTAACTAGATAGTTATAAAGATTTATATTGACAGTTATCACTTTAATTTAGCTTAATAAAGATATCACATTGATGTATTTGAGATGTGGTATTGGAGCGAAATGCTGAAAATACCATGGATTGCTTTCCGCATAAACATATCTATTCTACGGTAACTTAACATAAAAACCAATCTCTCCACCAATGTCTCCGTAGAATATTAGAGTTCTTTGATTACATCGCTCGGAAAGTAGATCATAACCTAGAGCAGTAGATAGAAAGCAAAATTACTAGACGGTGTAGTCCCATAAGATGGTCTGACCAAATTCGCTCATCGCTGGACCACGTCCCATGACGTCCTCTATCATTCAAAAGTCCGACACAGATGGAAGGATGTAATCAGCAAGAGCGAGTATGTCATGATCCTCAGGAATGAGGAAAAGGATTAGAGGAGGAGGATAGTAAAGACGTAACTAAAGATCCTGAAGCCGGAAAGAAGTAATGATAGCATTGTAAACGTCAAATTCTCAATTTTACCCACCCGTCTAGTCTCTCCCATTTTAATATACTGCGCCTGATCATCGCTTTCCGGTTTCTTCACCACGCAGTACTTAGTGGGTTCTAATGTGGTCGTGGGTCGGGGGGTCGTTGTAGTCGTGGTCGTGGTCGTTGTGGTGGTCGTGGTGGTGGTAGTAGTGGTGGTGGTAGTCGACGTGGTCGTGTCCGGCGTGGTCTCTAGCACCGGCTCGGAGATTTGTTCTACCTCACTCGGGCCGACTGTTTGTTCGGACATAGTTGTTTTTGGACCCAGTGGCTCTCGGTTCACCTGGAATGTTTAATAAATTAAAATTATATTTAATTACATCTAAATTTTTATATATGACGGCGAGCTGTAGAGCGGTTTAGGTTTTATCGGCACATTTACCGATTCAACCGATTTGAACCCGTACGTTAGATAACGTTAGAGCTTAAGTCGCAGTAGTTTTTCATGTCAATGGTTAACCTAAATACTTTTAGACCAGAATTTAATAATTTCAATGGTACAAGGACGTCTTGTTCAGTGGAGATGAGACATGATTTAGGATGGAGTCCCGCAGTCGCAAACCTCCGAGGATACACGATTTCAGCAGATTGTGCCTGTAGCGATGCATTAGAATAGCAGTAGCAAAATACAAGGATACGATCCTCCTTCATTTAATAATTACAGTCTAGAAAGCTATACACTGCTATTTTACAACTACAAGAAACGAGGTACCTACGTATGTGGTACATTTGGCCTTTCGGTATTCCTCAAATTTTTTGATGTTGAAGCAATATTAGCAAATAAAATGATGATGATAAACAACTCACCTGCATATTATCAGCACGGGGTGTACCATGGTGCGTGGTGTGACGGTGCTGATGGATGGTAGTCTGATGGTATATCGAGGGCTCCGGTGGAACGGTCATGTAGCTGATGCCATTGTCGATTTGTGTGGTAGTGAGCAAGGATCCATAGGTTTTGACGTGGTAATCGCTTTGAGATTCCACTGTGAAATTGTTAAATAGATATGATTAATATAATTCTGATTAACATAAAAAGGGTTAACGTTTTATACATAAATATTGCTCCGGAATATATAGGACATTTTGTAGTGAAAAGAAGTAAACAGACAGATATATATTTTCATATTTAGAACAATAGTGTGGAAATATCGATGGAAATCTGAAAATACATCAGATACATCACATGCATAGAAACTCATAGCTTTAATTTAAATTGCTGCAAATTGAAAATATAGCTGTGGGGTAAAAAGATCGGATGGTTTTATCACTTTATTATATTAATAATATCGAACTAAAAGAGTTTCTAACTATCGATATTATGGTCTGTTCTTCTACGAATTTATAATCGGGGTTTCCATCACCAAAAAATCTGATGAATTCACACATAAAAAAGATTTGTGTTGACTTACACTTATTCTAACTCTGTAAACCACCATGTTGCCATTAATAGTTATCGAGCCATGATGGGCCGCGATGTTCTCTGCCGGTATACTAATAGTATAAAAAATTGATACTCACCAACACAAGGATTAAGCCACAACAGTCGCTGCCAGCCGAGACAGTCGTATAGCTGAGCGAAGTCAGTGCCGCGGCAGGCACAAGCTGCTCGGAGCTGAGTGCCGAGCACGGCTACCACCGCTGCCCTGCAAGCTGCTGGCGATCCCGCGCACCCTTGTGTTACGGCATCCACTGCGCACCACTGCTCGTAGTTCTCTAGTCGAATCCTGAATGAAAAAAACAAAGAGTATATCAAATAATCTTATTCCACATTTAATAAAAAGACAACTGTTTTTTATCCTGTAATTTCACTGCCTTATCTCACTGGACATTAATATAATATTTAATCGTAATCACACACTCACGTGCGTGTTTCAAAGATCACACCTTTGTTTATTTTTCATGTTCCATTCCTTGGACTTTGTTTAAAGTCGTCTGCGTCTCAGATATTTCAACCGCCAAACAATTTGCATTGAATGTTGTGTCTCAGTGACACATGTAAATGTATTTACGGGGTAAGGAGCTATGACATCATACTCGTAGTTCTCAAGCAACAATTGGTAGTCTCATGATGTCCGTGGTGCTGTTTCTGTATGTGATGCGTACACCGCTTTTCATCCGATGGTCGAAAGTTCGATTCCTCGTATTGTGCAAACATTTTTATTAAAAAATATGAAGGTATCGGGTGAGGATTTTTTTCTATGTATTATTTGTATCACATATTAACTTATTTATTTTTATTAACGTATTATATACAAAGATCCTTTTTTCAAACCTGTTACTACGATAAAAAGAATTGGAAATCTTGCTATACAGGAATTAACTCCATAGACATGTTTAAGTGACTCAACCATTTTGGATCGGTTACCATAATGAAGGAATGAGCGAAATTAGTGCCCTCTGAGTGGCCTGCCGTCTGCGGTCAACTGTAAACTGATTGGAACTAGGGTACTATTCTGAACTATGTTTATTTAGATTTAGTTTCCTAGGGCTTATTTAAAAACATTTGTTAAACACTGTTTTTCACGGTTTGTTAACAATTATACGCGTCGAAATTACGGGATCTCATTAATAATAACATTAAAGCAAATATTCCATTTATGTTATGATATATATTACTTGCTATTCTAAGGTATTGTTTAGACAAAATTAATTTACAGGAATGGGTAAAAAAAACACAGGTATAATTTGGTCCTTTCAATAAATTTATTATTTTCATATTGAAGTACTTTTTAGGTAAAGCTTTTTCACTGTAAACGATTAGGGTGGTATATGACGTTAGTTGTCCAGACACGCAATTTTTATTTTTGAATATTACATTACTCACAATTATTACCTTAAAAAGCTGATTAAAAAAATATATAGTACTTATAATTTCACTGAAGTAGTCAATCAAAAGTACACTTACTTTATTATTCTTTGCTATACTCGTGTATTGCTAATCCTGTACTAGGTATTCGACAAAATATCGTATACGTTTTGTACAATAGAAATGAGCGATCGTAGTAGACCCCCGAGTAACTGGCCGCAACTGGATTTCTGATATGGATTCAGACAATAATACTGGGTACAATTAGTTTATTGATTCTGTAACTTGAGTTCCTGTAAGCCACTCCTCTCATCAAATGTAATGGAAAGACATGTTATTGACAGATTTTGACTATTTGATCACAATAGATTAGTTTTAACTATATTTCATTTTACTGTGGTCTAAAATAATGTTGCCTATTTTGTTAGTAATTCAATGTAATAATTACTAATCTGTAGTATTAATAAATTTTTTTAAAATGAATGTTAATAAAAGTTAAAAAAATAACGTAATGTGTGTTTACGTCAGTTGTTCCTTTCGAAATTTTTATCAAAACTTCACACATTATATAGGAAATCACTCTATTAATTTTCAAAATTTGTCTACATAGATCTTCTCAAGAAAGATTATGAAGAAAGTATTTTTTATTAATGATAAACTAGGTGTCATACATTAAGTACTCTGAATGATATCTGAAGAATGGATTTACTAAATTCTATAACTTTTTTGTTCGTTTTGACCTCGAAAAGTTTCTTCGCGCATTAGAACAATAAAAAAAGTTATAGCTCTATCACATAAATTTTACATAACATTTCTTGAGTTAGAGGTGGTACAAAGTTTGTCGTATCAGCTAATATATATGAAATAACTAGCGAGTGGCCCCGGCTTTGGACTGAGGTCATAGAAACAGAAGAAACTGAACCGTTTGCTTCTACTATTTAGATATTTTTTAATGGATGATAAAAGAATGGTGCTTGTCCCTGCGTTATCTGTTTACACTGGCAGGGTACCAGTGGAGGATTATAAAATAAACATAAGGTCAGATCTGTTAGCCAATAATGACAAGGAAACTAACGAGTTTGTTTTATATCATACAGATATAGGTAAATATCTTAATCGATGATAAAGGAATGGTGCACCCGTCTACTGTAACGGTTTACGCTGACAGGGCACCAGTGGACGTCAGATCAGTTATCCAATAATGACAAATTCAACAAGAATTTGTTACGCTGGTTTCCAGGAGGATCCGAGAGGATTCTTGGATCTTGGATTGGAACCACATTAGTAACAGTACTTTCTACCACAGATATTTGCTAGTTTGTATTCATATATTTAAACTTAAAAATGTAAACTTACAACAATTATTTAAAGTTGCAACACGCAAGTTATAGTTCCTTCTTTTTGTATAGAGACAGCTATCCAAATGAACGGTAAAGTAAAAAAATAAGTACTTATATGATTATTCAAAAGTGCTTAAAAAACCTTAAGTTAGTTTGAAGATAGAATATTCTATTAGAACAATTATGATGAAAATAATAATAAGCGGATAAAGTCAAACAGATAAGTACTCTATAATACCCAATATTAAAATTCTAACACAGAAAGTTAACAACATACAACTTTTATATCGCCGTAAATTAGGTATACGTGTTTGCGTCCAGGGAATACAAAGTACAGAATATTTATAAAAACTTCGGTTCTCCATATCGGTGTCTGCTGATCGTTTATATTCTGTAGGATACATAGTCCATTGAGATGCAATATTTTGTTCGATGATTTTTAACATAATATGTGGATTATTACGATTTTCAAATCAGATAAATATATTCGTGATTTTGTAAAGCGACATTTTTTTTAAATTATTTAAATAATGTAATCATTTTTCGGTGAAGAAGTAAGGCTACCTTACTTCTTCACCGGAAAATGACTACGCGATTTATAGCGCTCCTCTGTTGTTTTATATATAACGTACTAGCTTCTCGTCCTGGCTTCGCACGGGTGTATATGTATTATATATATATAAACCTTCCTCTTGAATCACTCTATTTATTAAAAAAAAATCTTCAAAATCCGTTGCGTAGTTTTAAAGATTTAAGCATACATGAAGACACAGCGACAACGACTTTGTTTTATACTATGTAATGACTAGCTTCTCAACCCGGCTTCGCACGGATGTACATGTATTATACATATATATAAACCTTCCTCTAGAATCACTCTATCTATCAAAAAAATCTTTTCAAAATCCGTTGCTTAGTTTTAAAGATTTAAGCATACATAATGTTAGACATCGGAAGCAACTTTATTTTATACTATGTAATGATGATGAAGTATAACATATAGGGGGTCCCCCACAGCATGTTACTTATATTCATAATATTATAAATGTGAATATTTAGCAAAAATGTTTATATTTTTTTCAAAAGAGATGAAACAAAGGTAATTGCAAAAGTTTCGTTTTAATGTATTTATAACAATATAAAATATCATTTCTTCTTATAACTTGTTAGGATAATATACTGATAGCATTTTCTAAGGTCTAACTTGGCCGGAGTTTTCATATAAAATATACTGTAGCCTCCCAAGTTCTAAACATGTTACTTTTATTTTAATATTAGTATTATAAATGAAAGTAATAATTGGTATAAAATGTTTGGATATATTTTATCTAATATATTACATAAGAAGATGATATTATATATTGTTATAAATACATTTCAGGACAGACCATTGATTTAGATCTCTTCTCTTTTGTCGTAGAAGTCAACAATCAAGGTATATAGCATAATATTAAACTCGGCTATCATTTCACATTTATGTTTTTGATGGGATATTTACTTACGATCAGATTGTCAGGTGGTTTGTCATTCCAATGGAATGATATAACATTTAAATGTTTCTTTGGAAATTGAAATAAAAAAATACATTCTTACTCTCCTAATTAGAACCCATCAATTAAAAAATAGGCTTTTATTTTGTTATTTCGTGACTAGTGCAACCTGGTCGCTACGTCTGGAGAAATACATTATTGTACCATAAAATTATTTCCGATTAACTAAACATTACCATACCTACTCTTTTCTTATCTTTACTTTCTCTATCCAGAGCTCTGTTCAAAGAAAGTCTGGAAGAGATTGTTTGGAGATAAACTCGTCTTTTGTATCAGATAATATAAATTTATTACCTAGTTTTTTTTTCTACATTTGGTGTAATAAGAACTATAAATAAAGATCAGAGATAATAAGTCGTCTGCGTGAGAGCCTTAGTCTCACCTTCTTCAGCCGGCAAGCGTTTGCTTTATAAGCTATGTTTCGACAGTAGGGTGCAATTGTGAAATGAAATTACAGTATAATAGGCATGACATCTTAGTCTTCTGAAATGGAAATGCATGAGTAATGTCACAGGCGTCACATGACAACGTGATGTCCGTAGTGATAGCGTCATATATGTATATAGGCGCTGATTATTGATTACAGTGGACCATCAGCTTATTTGGCTTTGGAATTACATAAAAAAGAATCCCATTCTATAGTTTGTAGTTTTGCCATATAAATTTAAGTATTAATATCTCTATTAACAATTAGGGTTCGGTGATAGATAGGTGATAATTTAGGGTTGTATGAATTTGTCATGCCACATTATATATTTTTTTTAAATAGTCGGACAAATAAGAGCACCATTATTACTTAGGGGTATGAAAAATAGATAGTAGCCGAGTCCCGGACCTACAAAATATGCATATAAAATTTCATAAAAAGTGGTCATGCCATTTCGGAGGAGTATGGTAACTAACATTGTAACACGAGAATTTTGTATATAAAATACGATCAATATATTTTATAAGTGCTAGTATTTTGACGTATTAACATCCGATATAACATTATAATGGTCTCCATTAAAATGCTCTAAGGACCAAACGATATAATGGGGCTAATGGATTTCTTTCTGACGCAATAAAATTGCTAACGAACTTAGGGACTGTTTCCGAAAATTATTATACACTAGCCGTTACCCGCGCCTTCATTGGCGTGGAATTTAATATTTTTTTATTACATCATATTTTTTTTTAATATATGTAACCAAAATTACTCATTATAACATTATCTATTTGCGAGCGAAAATCCCGGCCAAATCGGTGCCGTATATACTTTCAAAATTTAATGAAAAGTTAATTTTAAATTACAAACAAAATCTTGAATTTTATTTATTTTTATAGATACCCATTTATCTGAACTTTCTGAACCACAGTTTTATGTTGTTTCTCGTAGAAAATCACCCAATATTTATAGTAGTCACCAACTGATTCCATTACGAATAATATTTTTTTTAAATCACAGTTTTGAACATTATTAATATACTACTTCAGAATAAATGTAATAAATAAATGTTTGTGTGACGGCGTCAAAGGCGTAGTGTGTGTAATGTAGTTTTACTCTCATGCATTTTAATAATAAAATATTAGCTTTCTGCACTCCCTATAAAACTGTATCAAATCTCATACTCATTAATTTATACATATATAATAAAAATGTACGTCTGTACATAAAAGATATAATTATGAGAAAATCTATTAGTGGTTAGCTATTAGTGTTCTGTATGTTATAAATAAAGCATATTCTATATGTCTATCTAAAAACAATTAATTTAGAGTTTTCATGCCCAATATCCTATACATATATATAGTCCTATACATCTCTCATCTCATAAATCATGTCTATTTATGTATTAAATAGATTAGTTTAGTTAGTTTAAATGCTAACTAAAGTTTAAGTTATCTAACAGACCGTAGGAGCTAGTCTGTAACTGGTAATCAGTATAAAGTTCTAGCACAATCGATCGCTCGAACTGAAACAGGATTGAAGCTGCAATCAGAACAATGTTTTCGGTACAGTAAATACGGATAGAAATAATAGCAACGGATAGGAATAAAGCCGGCGATAGCAGGCTAATTCTAGCGAACCAGATGCTGGGATGTCAGTAGATATCAGTTGTAATACAGACAGAATAGCAATATCGAACATTAGTTTGATGTCTGTTCTGACAGTACAGATAATATATTTTTTTATTAAACTCTCTCTCCTGAGGTTGTCTGTAAGATTGTTGTTGTTGTTCTTCTTTCTTTAATGTATTGTTATATTTTTTAATGTATCTGATTTTAATATTGGTGCAATAAAGTATTAGTAAGTAAATAAAATAAATTTATATATTATATATAACAATATTATATCTCAGAACGATTCATACAGCTATCCCAAGCTAAGCTAGTGGGTACTGAACGACTGTTATAAATGCAAAAAAACATTTTTTTTTGAAAACACATACATCTTATATATTGTAAACAACAAAACCCGTACAAAACTCATATTCAGGAATACAAATGTTTGTACCGTGGGAGGAATAGAACCCGCAACCCTCGGAAGCAAGACTATGTGCTAAACCTCTAGACCACCTAGGTCGTCCGTCGAGAACTATAGACTGATAGTTACAATATCTGAATTGTTAGATGTCTCATAAAAATATTTAAACTGAGACCGCGACTTCGTCCCCCTTCGTTGTGATAATCGGAATAACTTTAGTTTGTAAACCGATCGGAAAAAAAGACTCTAAATTTTATGTAATAGTCCCCACAATACATTAGTGAATCCCACACACAAATTGGCAAGCTACAAACTGACATCTAAACTATCATTGTTTTGGTATTCTACAGCAATGTGTCTAGTTTTGTTTCATACTTAATGTACATGATGGTAGTTTTATATAATGTACATGACAGATATATGTAGTACGGATAGCGATCATCAGTAAAATTTTCAGAGCACCCAATTGTTCAAGAGTTATATTTTATTACCTACATATCGTTTTGTAGAGCACCATAATGGATTACTATTTAATACCACTTTTAAGTTAAATTAAATGGTAAAAAAAAGGAAACATTTATTGACAACCATTACATTCACATATTCCTATAACAACAACTAAACATTAAAACACATATATACGTACAGACCCATATATGTGTATTTACATATCCATAGTTTCTACTCATATACACATAACGCTTACGAACTGGAATTGCACATTTTTATATGTTTTTTTCTATCAAATTTGAATGTATTTTCTTTATAGAATTATAATATATTTTTATTGTCACTTTTTGTCTTACAACCGTTTGTACACGTAACTTCATTATAAGTATTTACCATTTTCTATACATTGTTTGATTTATATCACACATACAGTCCACTCATTCTATCGCCCACATTTTGGTCCTACATCGGTATAAATCCAACATTTACATCTTATAGGTATGTAGTATCACTTGAACTTAAAATTTGTTTAAAAGAAAGAAAGAAAGAAAGAAAGAAAGAAAGAAAGAAAGAAAGAAAGAAAGAAAGAAAGAAAGAAAGAAAGAAAAAAATATTTATTCAGTGCTTTAAAACATATACGACATAACTTAAGTACCTACAGCATTGTATCGTATTAGAGATTTGAGCAGATAAATAACTAAATGCTTTGCTTGTGCAATTGTATTTGTTTAACAACATTACGCACTGATGGATGTCCAAATCTGGCTATGCATGAACAAGACATGTTGTGCTTTGTTTCAGATCATTTGATTGAATATTTGATTAGTAATAGCTACACAGGTATTTTAAATATGTTTTTTTATTTATACATTGGTAAGGTATTACCAATGTATAACAAACTCACTTAAAGTACACCTCAATATAGAAGAGGACACTGACTTTTGAAACACAGCTAATTTCTATACCTACCTCAGAAGTCAGGGACTTCATAAATTATTTATAAGAAATAATAATAATAATTATTATTATTATTACCATATATCGGGTTCTATTAAACAACTAACATTGTTATCGATTGTTTCTTGGTTGAAGGGTGAGATATGGTACTGAAACTATGAAGAGCATAAATATGATGGCCACATGACGACGCGATGTCCATGGTGTTCTTGATGTTACCATTATGTGGGTCATGAACTTATTTTGCTATTACGGTTACATAAAAAGTTGACTGTAGGGACAGTTTACCTGCATTCTGGTTCTTCGCGGCATGCATGTGCGAGGGTGTGGCAGGCTGGTAGCGGGGTGCCCACTTCCGGTCTCTGAGCGCACATAGGATGAAGACGTTCTTGGGCGTTCATGCATGAATCTTCTCGGTTATCGGTTTTCCTAAAGCACAAAATAAATATTACATTCTCAAAAACCGATTTAAAAATTTTGAAAACAGGTAGCTATTCTCAATTATGGGGACTATTGCCAGCAATTCTAACAATATGATCCTATTGCCAGCTATGTTGGTCAATTGCTAACAATAAGGCTACATGGTTTACCTCCACACAGTTGTGTTTAATTCTTGGCGAATTCGCCTCAATTGGCTGATTGACCTGACTCACTGCTCATCCTATCGTCCTCCACCGGTACCCCATTAGCATATACTGCTAATGAAGACGGGTGGAACATTCCATATAAAATTATTATAAATTTTAGAATTAAATGAGTTTAAATTATAGTAGTCGGTGTTCATAACAACTGAGGGCCTAAAACAATGAAAATTAGCATTGGAATCCATATTTTCAGCATAAAACAGTATTGTGTTCCACATTAGCTCTTCGAATTTGTTTGATATTTTAGTTTTATTTTTTAATTTTTTTAGATTCAATGAATTCAATTCTATAGATATATAAATAAACGTAAAAACACTTAGACCAATAAAAACAATTAAATTAATCATTATAAAGGTTTGCACTATGTAGAAATGTAAGACAATTTGCAAAATGGTTATACTTGTCACCCAGATCCTCAATTATTATAGTTTTTAGATATAACGAGTAAAATATGTAGAAATATTTTTTTAAACACTTACTTGCATAGACAAAAAGCGATTTCGGTGTTCCACTCCACTCCAGGTTTTCTATAGAAGCCCCTCAAAGCAGCCATACAACCTTCCCTATCGCACTCCACAGCATGACACTTCTGCAGCACGGGAGTCAATGACGTCATGCATTCAGCGTCCTTGATGCAAGAGTCCAGAGCCACGTGACAGGTGGACTGGAGCGCCACCTTCTCATCACCTGCTTTACCGTTCTCTTTTCCAATCCTCTCTGTTGGTTGTTTTTTAATGTTAGTTTTTGTGTGATATTTGTTTGATGAGTGTGTAATAATAATACTTGCTTCACAAACGCTTAGTTAATACTATCAATCATTATTAAGCCCTATCATATGTGACGAACGTTCAAAATTGTTTGTTATTTTCACATACACAATTATAATCCAAAAAATAACCTGTTTGTTAATCATTTCACACGAAAATTGCAACCGATTTGATATCTTTGATGTATTATATAAAGCAATAAATAATTTATACACAGATTTAATAACTATACCCATAATAAAATACAAATTCGGTAAAATAAATAGATAGATGAAAATAAATAATCGAAACCTAAATATTACTGAAATTAAAAACAAAAATGTTAGGTATAATATATGAAAGTGTTAATATAGATACAATTAATTACAATATGCTCATGCCAAGACAATATAATTTACAAATTGTGGTAAAAAATATACGATACGAGTGATAAAACTTTGTAGAATCAATTGCGCTGAGTGAGATACACGATGAATTGCCAATGGTCAACTTATGAATTATTACGTTTTTTTAGATACAAGCAATTCGATAATTTATCATGCTTATATAAAATTTAATGATTTATTATCAATGAAACATACTAAAGAGAAAAATGTCGAAATATTATATACTATCTACGAAATTGTTTAACAGACAATAACGAAATATGAGAGAATCGTAGGGAATTATTTCAGCAAAACGCCAACAATTCTTATGATCCATTAAACAATTTCCTTTTGTTCTCCACATCTCAAGACCGACTTAAATCCATAGAGGATGAATCATTTAGTCTTTAGCGAAAATTGCGAAGCTACCCGGATATCCAGTATCTAAGCGTCTTTACTAAATCGTCTCTTTACAACTAAATATTCTACATTTTTACTGTGGACCACAAGGAAAAGGAAGCAATTCAAGGGCTCTAAAGCATTTGCTAGGAGGGTCCCTTCTAAGTCCTTTGTCTACATAAAGCTTTACTTTGTTTTTATGTTTCATTATTTATTCTTCGTTAACCTAATTTTGTTCTAATTTTAAACGTGGAAACGCTAATCTAGAGTGCTCCAATACGGGAATGAAATAAACATTGGGGACAGGATAACAAATGAGCACTTAGAAATAATTTGATAGGTGCTAAAGTTATGAATAAAACCACCTGTGACTTGATCTATACAGGTTTGTCTAGAGCTGTACAGTTTAAGTTTAAGCTCAAAGTGAGTGTAACTTACGATATCTATGGTTGTACTGTCTGTTAATAAGTGTTAATACTTAAGTACCACCTTTACACAACGTTGACTAATATCTCCATTTAATCTTAGTAAAAATTAATACTATCCATAAAGTTATTAACATTTTTAGCGTATATAAAAATTCAAAATACAAACAATATGATACAATTACGAATTTTATGCATATACAGGTGCAATTTTATTTAAATTATTTTTTGTGGTTACTGTACTATACTGTCATTTTGGTTTATGTTCAAAATTGGGAGGTATTAGTTAACGTCAAAATAATTCTAACAATACGTACGGGTTTCATCAATGTATCCATCTCCGAAGACTGTCTTGGTGGCGTAGAGAGGGTCTTCGCTCCCCCCGGGCTCATGGTTCCAGCGATGATAATGATGCCCGTGGGGCTTGTAGTGAGGGCTTGCGTAACGATGCACGTGCGTCAATAATTTGTCCGGTGCGATCAGGTTTCCGTCATGTGTTATGGACATACCGCCGATCCATGACGTCACACCAGATCCCGTACGATTCGCGGTCCGTCCGTCCGACATCAGCTTTACTGGAATTTCATCCATCGAATCGCTTAGCTCTGGAAGGCTCGACGACCGAGCCATAGCGCGACGGGACTCCGAAAATAAAGATCAGAGGCGATCGCGTCGGTCGATCGTTCAAATACATCGATTAAAAAAAAGAGAGACCCTACAAACGGAATAACAAAAACATCAATCCAAACAACAACGATATCGGCATACGTTACGACACTTATAATATCGGGCAATACTAAATCCTTTATGATTTTAAGGATTCAGAAAAATTTTGTCCCCGACGCAAAATATAGCAAAGCCATTTAATGATGGTAGTCCCGTTCGAACTATTAAACAAAGCCAAGTTTATGCCGCGCAGTAACCATAGAGATCGTAGAAAAATGGAAGATGCAGAGAGAAAACATGCAAACATGCTCATTTTGAGAATGACTGCCATTGTAGACTTTTTATATTATTAAAAAAAATCGTGCTCGATTAAAGTCTATAGTGGCATATTAAAATTTAAGGGAAAAGGAGACAGCAGAATAGTCTAAATGCATGCAAGCATAAAGTAGGAGCGAATATTCATAAAGCGAAATTTGTAAATGCTAAACTTAAATATTGAAGAGGGCTGTTCATATAATTCAGTTTTATGCTGAAGTTTAAAATTGCTTATCCCTATGAATTAATGATTATTTAAGTTTCAAAAGTAAAAGTTCGAATAAATTTAAGCTAAGAAGTTCAAGCCGTGTTTTAAGAGATAAAATATTAATCGTTGCTTATATCGTGATTAAATCACTGCTAATTATATCTGAAAAAAAAAATCGCGGTAGGTCTTATTTAATCTAATCTAGTTCATTATATCGGTGGACGTCATTGATGGCGTAGTCAAGCCACGCTCCTACCTTACGAAGCGTAGTGCGAAGCGTGCAGTGCTAGAGGCGACGGAATCCGACAGAGACACATAGACAGAGAGAGATAGAGAGAGAGAAGATGAAGAGAGGGTGCGGCGGCGGCTCACCGTGGCGGGGCCGAGGGGGGCGCGGGGAGAGGAGGGCAGCGCGCAGGAGGCTGGCGGCGGCGGCGCGCGTCATCAGCCTGGTGCCATTCTCGGTGAGGAGCAGGATGGTACCGTCGGGCGCAGCGTAGCGGGTGAGAGGTGGAGCGCGCGCGGTTGGCCGCCTGGGGGCCTCGAACAGCGCGCGGACCTCCAGCGGGCATTCACCCCACGCCGCCGCTGCCCCACAACCACGTTACCAACAACCACCACTGCCCACCAGCCGTGCTCGCGAGCCGCACAAATGGACTACCCTTGAGGGACTTTTTAGAAAAAAATATACTTGGAGTCCCTTGAGAGTATTCCATTTACAAAAGACGAGGTAGAATCGAGATCTAGAGTAGTGTTCGCCGCCCCAACGACAATGCTCTATCGTCAGCAGTCCAGAGACCATCACCGAAGGCCGAAGGTGTTGGAAGCCAAGAGTTGAGGTAACTGCGGGCATTTGTACGGTGTGTGAGGTCAGGAGTACACTAAAAAGAAGCTCAGTGTCCGGTGAAACATAAAGGTAAACAGCCTTGTGTGGTAAAGTAGTGATCTAAGTCAATCCTAAGGCCTAGGCATCTAATCAGTGTGAAAAACAAAAAGGCACGTATAAGAAAGAAATAGAAAAACAAAATAAATACAAAAAAACAACTAATTTAACACTTTGACGACTATTTGAAAGTGAGTCTAGTACTCCTTAAAGCGTTTTATAGTGTAGTGTTACTGTATTGACGCTTATTCCTGTTTTATTTTGGCTGTTTTACTTGTATTGTGACTATGTAATTTTGTTATGTATCCATCTTAAGTTTAACATATATTTATTAAATTAATAGAATACTTAAATCACGTTTCTAAAGTTGTTTCTCAAGGCACAATATTGGGTACAGTCTTTTCTTCATACATACATATAACATATATATAAACGTTTTAGTTATATTGATAGTGTTACAGTTACACGTGTACCTATGCGTTGCTATTTTAAACACTTAAAGCTATTCTAATATTATTAAATAATATTATTTAGCATATCTTATGAGATTCTGAGTGAGAAAATTACTACACTATCTAGATAACACAAAAACACAATTTATAATATTTTAACTTTCAAATTAGACGTTTAGATGTTCCTTCAAACAAGTAATTAATGTATTCAGCTGTAAATATCAAGGACATATTGGAAATACTTGTTATAAACTTAATATTAGACCTAGAGTTATAGCCTAGAAAGTGGAAAATAGTAGAAGGTTTTTTAAACCAACACTTCAGATATTTTTCCCGGGCTTGGGAACTTACAGAAAGTAATTGAAACAGTTGTGTGTGTTCCCACGCAGTGAAAGCAGACAGGGTTGTCGCTACTTAGAACTCAAATGATCAATAAAACAAGATGAATTGTGATATTATTAGGAGTTTTGTTTTACCTGTCATTGTGTTTAACAAACAAGTTATTAGAAATTTGATTAACATTAATGATTTTCTCGTTAATACAGATGTTATAAATAGAAATGTTGTAGTTACTATAAAATAAATAAATAAGATAAAAGACATGTATATATCTAAAACTTATGTTAATTTTGCAGTAATACTTATTTTATAGCTATGAACTGGAATGTAATGAATATATTATAATATGTTTATGCCTATCGCGGCTATTTTTACGACTTCGTTCGGATGGCTTCTTCGCAACGCGTCCATTATACCGTCTCGCCTCGCACTAAAGAAGTCTTGGAGTCTTGAAAAAGCATGAATTTGAAACAATGGTCGAATAAGACGAAACAGTAAGTTGCCGTACATAGTTATAGAATATGTATAGTATCTGAAAATATTTGTATTGCTTTAAGTCTAAAAGAGTATTTGTTTATATGAAATAGATTTTCTATTTCGTCTTCTGAATACTATGAATGTAAGGCACATTACACACAAACTAGCTAATCCGCACAATTTCGTCTGCATTTCTCTTACTTGACATTTATCATTACATTTCGCCAATTTAACATAACATTTTTTTTATTTATAAACAATGTGTTCTTTTGATATATAAGCTATATTACTGTAAAGTTTCATCAAAATCTACTCAGTAGTTTTTGCCTAAAAGAGTAACCAACATCCATCTATTAATCTATACTTTTTCTAATAAACTTAGTAAGATAATACGCATTCGCCAAGTAATAAAATGGTTTCGTAAACGGCAGCCCTGTGGGCGCCGTGTTACAAGCGTCGTAGATTCAGGATCATTGTTCGAGCGAAATTTTCTATAGCTTTGTAAAAAAGTAATGTTGCCAGTAAAGGTGCGACAATACCCATGAGTTTGCTTGTAAGTAGTTATTATAGAAACTGTTTCCCTTGTAAGAAAAGTACAGTTTTATTCATGTGGTCCTGGTTTAATAATATGGTTGTTTGTGGATTTAACTTGTTTGTAAGGTTTGTTTAAGTTTTCTATAGTAATTATTCTGTGAGTTTTTAATGTTTGAGTATTAATAATAATAATATACCTTCATAGATTTTTATTTTTGGTTATTGTAGATGGAATAGTCAGATTCATTGTCAATTATCGATGTGGTTGTATACGCAATATTGTACGTATAAACTTCATCAATTATTCATCAATATTATAAACGCGGAAGTTTGTGGGTGTGGATGAATGGATGGATGGATGTTTCATTCATTAATCCATTTTTAAGTGAAAGAGTAACTCTTTCACTTACAAACTACTGAATGGATTTTAACGAAGCTTACAAAATATAGGCTATTTTCATGTAGGTGATACCACAGGCACAGTTAGTAATCAAATAAACTCATTATTATAATGAATACATATCTGAATGGTAAAAGGTCACTATTAAATTATTAAACGTATCATTTAGTACAACTCATTACAATTTCGATATCTCGAGCTCGTATCTACCAATATGAACTGTTAAACGAATCAATAACACATTAATTTAAATTTAATTACGTTTTGATGTTTCTCTATTAATCCCAAGTATTTACAGTGCCTGCTTCATAACGTCAGAAGCGTAGATTTCAGAAGTAATTAAAACTGGAAGTAACAATACTCAGTCATATTGAATTTATGTACAACGATTTTCACTATTCAATGTAGAAATGGATTTGTTTGTTTGTATATCAATGTTAAAGTACTGAATGTAATTCTAGAAAGACGACAGTATTTAGAATGGCAAACATGAAACTGAAACATGATGATGGTCAGCGGTAACACTCGCTATATATATATTAACATCATTACGAACATTTCGCTTGCATGTGACAACCACCACTATGTAATACCACTCATGCGTTGCCATTCTAGAGGACTAAGATGTCAGGCATCTTATCGTGTAATTTGACTGCCTAATCAGTCTACAACAGAAACAGCTTACAAAGCAATCTGCTTAGCGGCTGATATAGATGAGACTTAGGTACGCACGCAGACGACTTTTACAATTTACTCCAGGTGTATTGGGAATATATAAGATAAATATAAAATGTTATTACAGAAGTATTTGGTATGAGTAGAATTTTTGTTTATCTAATACCTGAGAAACAAATTAATATACTACCGTTACCCTGGACTATACAAAAAATACTTTTGAAAATTTCATTAAGATTCGTTCAGTTGTTTAGCCATAATAAAGTAACAAACATATAGACAGACGGAGAGCCAGAAAGACACGCTTTCGCATTTATAATATTACTATAAATGATCTAAATACAAAATGGTGCAATAGAGAGGGCAAATCTTTTGTTTGACACAAAAGTTTAAACATCCAACTGTAACGTGCAAGATACCACATGTGCCTACAAATCTGGTTTAATAGATATCCAAAAGAAAGCAGAAAATAAAGAGAATGAGTTAAATTGCGAGAGCATACGTATTTTGTAGATTCTATTCTGATACTTGTACGGAGGCAAAAGTTAATTAAAACAAAACAGTTTTTGTAAAATTCTGTGTACATTTCTGTGTATGTTTAGAAGAATATTTTTACTATATAAACT